TCAAGGAGTCACTTATATCCTGTGCCCATCTTCGTGTCGGTCGGCCCATGCTCCTCCTTCCTGGGTACTATGCCTTCTGCTGTAATTTTTTCCAATCCGTCGTGGCGCTTGATATGACCAAAATATTTCAGCTTCCGAGAAAGGATGCTGTTTATTAGCCAATCTTCCTTGATGTTCAGATCTTTTGAGATGTCAATATTTCTCATCTTCTTTGTCCAAGATATTCTGAGAATCTTTCTATAGCATTTCCGCTCAAAAAACCCTATTCTCTTTCTTAAGAACTGAGAGATAGTCCACGACTCACATCCGTATGTAGCCACAGGGAAGATGCATGCTCTCAAAATTCTAATTTGTATCTCCTTGCTGGTGCTTAACCATAGACTTTTAAGGCGGTTCAATCTTTGAATTGCTATGGCCATCCTCCTTTTAATTTCTGTCGAACAGTCTCCATTGCTTTTTATTATAGAGCCTAGATATTCAAAGTTTGTGACATTTTCAATTTCTTCATTATTTATTGTTATTTTTGGGTGACAGCCAGTTTTATCCGTGGACATTATTTTCGTTTTTAAAAAAAACTCAAGAACAGATTTTGATCTTCACTGAGTTTTTGGCCAGACAATATTAAATTTTCTATTCCCTTTACGCTGTTCGAAAGGAGGACTGTGTCATCTGTATAGCGGAGTTCCGGAATAGGATTGCCACCAATTTTGAGTGGATCATAACTGTCACAAGTCTGGTCATTTTTGACATTTCTCATTATATTGTCTGCATATATATTGAATAGGTATGGTGAGAGAATACACCCCTGCCCCACCCCCTTTTGCACCACGAAATATTCAGATGTTTCACCAGCTGCTTTGATGGCTGCTTGTTGTTCATGATAAAGATTTTCAATTAAATGCCCAGTATACTTCTAAAAAATTAAGTACAGGGGTTCTAGCAAGACAGAGAATTAAAAAGTTATTGAAGGAAAAAAAAAAAAAAAGAATAATATTTTGGCCACAAAATGAAAACCATCATGGAGGGAAAAGTCAAAGACAAGAGAAAGAGAGGCTGGCAATAATACAGGTAAAAGGACAACAACATCATGAGATGCACGAACAGCAGTCTGAAAGGGTGAACAACCATAATGAGAAAAAGACATCTGATTGTGCTTCTGTGTTGTGGCTAGCACACTTGTCTTGCTGGCATGGTGGTCGTGCAATAGAACAAATTCATCTGAGCTCCCAGGTTAAAATGGGTATCAGGAAAAGTTCTAGGAAGTAAAGGTGGCAGGCAGGATACTGACCACATCACCATCAAGTACCTCTTGGTCACCCAAATATGAGACTAGAACTATATGCTTAGGACATTTCAAGGTGTAGAAATGGGTCAAGAGAGAATATTAATTTGGCTGTTTGTATGCTAAATGTGTTACTTTACTAGACCATACATCTTCTTAGTTTTTTTCATCTGTCTTCTTGTTCATTGCCTAGCATGTGTGATTGTTCTGGAACGTTTTGGAGAATAAATAACTTTATATAATATTATTAGATTGTCAATAAATTAGATTGTCAATAAATTAGACAAGTTTCATTTTTATGTGTGTCTGTGTGTGTATGTCTTCCAGTGATTCTGTGATGAGGGATCCCTTTGGCCAAGTGGTTAAGCTGTTTTGTACCTTACTCTCTGGGACTCCAGTATAACCTTATGGTTGAACAGAGTTTCTGGGATTTATACAGGGGGATTCGTATCCAAATAGTGACTCTTTTATCATTGGATGCTAGTCACCCAGTGTGCGGTCTTAATGGGGTTCAACTTTAATAACACAAGCTGTTTCCCTTGCATTCTGAAGATTATGTGTCCGATTTCAGGCTCGCTCCCTGTGTTCTTGAGTGCAAATGTTTCTGAGATCATTGAAATGTGGGCTGTGGGGCTTCATTTTGGAGAAAAAAGACAGAACCATGGCTCCCCTAACAAGCATGTCATAGGTGTTGACTAAGGATGTTTCCTCTAAAGTAGAGTGCATCTGTTTGAGAGGTAAAGAACCAACAGTCTGCATACAGATCAGCCAGGTCTATAAAACAGATATACACACAAAGTTTTGGATCAAGACCAAAGTCTGAAAGTGGACAAACAGCCACACTTCTCCACCAGAATTTACAGTCGGTGAATACCAAGACGACGAAGAAGAAGACTGAACTGATTAGTCTTTCTGCCATGTGTGTCATTGTTTATGGTAAATTTTAATATTTATCAAAATTCTTTCTTTTCCTTTTAGTGAATAAAAGTAACTGCCAAAATGACAAACCCGGCCGATCTAGCGGCCAGGGAGATCAAAGTCCTGGAGACTGCTGAAGACATCCAGGCTCGAAGAGATGAGGTGCTGGGGCGCTATGCAGCGTTCAAAGCTGCGTGCCGGGACCGCAAGCACAATTTGGAGGACTCCCGCAGATATCAGTACTTCAAGCGTGATGCTGATGAGCTGGAGTCATGGATCTTGGAGAAGCTGCAAACTGCCTCAGATGAGAGCTACAAAGATCCTACCAACCTGCAGGTAATGCTAACATTGTCACTTTCCCCTCTACCTTCCTGTTGCCACAACAGTAACCAGATTACTCCTTTTCAGTCTTTGTCAAAGAAATATTTTCTGAATTTCTCCTTTTATCATTCTATCAGAACAACTTAGATCTGGAGGCCAGTAACTTGATGAGAGCTATTGTGCAGTCCAAATCTCCCAGTCTACCAAACAGCTTTGTCTTTATTAAGGTTGGAACAGAACAGATTGCTTCATGTTAACAGCCTACAGTTTACGGTGTACAAGCTCGATCAGCATTTTCAGGTGCCAAGTTACAGAAATGTATTACCATGTTTCCTACACCAAAAACTTGAACATATGAGTAACTAGTTCTCATCATGAGATTTTCTTTCAGGATGTCCTAATTTATTTTGTTTGTTCAAAGTAGTTCAAAGATAAGGCCAGTCAGAGAGATGTGTGGAGGCCGGTGATATCTGCAGCAATAGAGATATGTGTGTAGGTGGGTGATATCTGCTGCAATAAACCTCATGGGCTCAGAATGCTGAAGAAGAAGAAAGTGGTTTCTGCATTTACAACCTAAAATAATGTTTCAATAATTTGATGATAATCTGTGATTCACTTTCAGACATCAGAACTAAAGTGTTACAATTTTTAGGAACTGTTTTTTTTTTCATCTTCAGTTGGCAAAGATTTGTTACATTTTAAGCTCAATGTCTTGTGTTAACTATTCTACATGTACATCACCATGATGATTCTTTTATCTGCTGATAATAAGTTGTTTAGATGTTTTAACTCTAAGGTTGTTATCAGACACCATCTTCCCAGTATTTTACACATCTCTGTGTGTGTGCTCCATTAGGCTCAGAAGATGTTGAAGAGTATGGATACTCTCAGTTCTTCCTCTACCTTGATCCTTCATATTAGTGCCACGTTGGATTCCAAACCCAATCATACATAACAATTTCTATAAATAAAGCCCTTTAAAAAAAAAAAAACCCCCTGTAAATGCTATCTTTAGTAAATTTAGACATCACCTAACATGCTGAGCATTTGCACAGATCTCATAGACATGTCTCTACAGCAATATTTGAAAACAGCTCTTACTGGGAAATGGTAATAATAGGAAGTATCAGTTTTGTAGCTTGTGGGAGTGAAAGAGATAACATTGCAAGTATTGCAAAATGATAACATCTAAATCATACCTGACCCACAGGATACACCAGGTAGTACTTGATGTAGGCCATTAGGTAAAGCCTGGGGAATGAGGTAACAATAAACATGGTAAATATTGAAAACCTGTACCTGGAGAGAGTGATGTAGGGTACACACCTGGAGAGAGTGATGTAGGGAAAACACCTGGAGAGAGTGATGTAGGGTAAACACCTGGAGAGAGAGATGCAGGGTCCACACCTGGAGAGAGTGATGTAGGGTAAACACCTGGAGAGAGTGATGTAGGGTACACACCTGGAGAGAGTGATGTAGGGTACACACCTGGAGAGAGTGATGTAGGGTAAACACCTGGAGAGAGTGATGTAGGGTACACACCTGGAGAGAGTGATGTAGGGTACACACCTGGAGAGAGTGATGTAGGGTACACACCTGGAGAGAGTGATGTAGAGTAAACACCTGGAGAGAGTGATGTCGGGTACACACCTGGAGAGAGTGATGTAGAGTAAACACCTGGAGAGAGTGATGTAGGGTACACACCTGGAGAGAGTGATGTAGGGTACACATCTGGAGAAAGTGATGTAGGGTACACACCTGGAGAGAGTCATGTAGGGTACACACCTGGAGAGAGTGATGCAGGGTAAACACCTGGAGAGAGTGATGTAGGGTACACACCTGGAGAGAGTGATGTAGGGTACACACCTGGAGAGAGTGATGTAGGGTACACACCTGGAGAGAGTGATGTAGAGTAAACACCTGGAAAGAGTGATGTAGGGTACACACCTGGTGAGAGTGATGCAGGGTACACACCTGGTGAGAGTGATGCAGGGTACACACCTGGAGAAAGTGATGTAGGGTACACACCTGGAGAGAGTGATGTAGGGTACACACCTGGAGAGAGTGATGTAGGGTACACACCTGGAGAGAGTGATGTAGGGTACACACCTGGAGAGAGTGATGTAGGGTAAACACCTGGAGAGAGTGATGTAGGGTACACACCTGGAGAGAGTGATGTAGGGTACACACCTGGAGAGAGTGATGCAGGGTACACACCTGGAGAGAGTGATGTAGGGTGCACACCTGGAGAGAGTGATGTAGGGTGCACACCTGGAGAGAGTGATGTAGGGTACATACCTGGAGAGAGTAATGTAGGGTACACACCTGGAGAGAGTGATGTAGGGTACACACCTGGAGAGAGTGATGTAGGGTACACACCTCGAGAGAGTGATGTAGGATACACACCTCGAGAGAGTGATGTAGGGTACACACCTGGAGAGAGTGATGTAGGGTACACACCTGGAGAGATTGATGCAGTTTACACACCTGGAGAGAGTGATGTAGGGTACACACCAGGAGAGAGTGATGCAGGGTACACATCTGGAGAGAGTGATGTAGGGTACACACCTGGAGAGAGTGATGTAGGGTACACACCTGGAGAGAGTGATGTAGGGTACACACCTAAAGAGAGTGGTGTAGGGTACACACCTGGAGAGAGTGATGTAGGGTACACACCTGGAGAGAGTGGTGTAGGGTACACACTTGGAGAGAGTGATGCAGGGTACACACCTGGAGAGAGTGATGCAGGGTACACACCTGGAGAGAGTGATGCAGGGTACACACCTGGAGAGAGTGGTGTAGGGTACACACCTGGAGAGAGTGGTGTAGGGTACACATCTGGAGAGAGTGATGCAGGGTACACAGCTGGAGAGAGTGATGCAGGGTACACACCTGGAGAGAGTGATGTAGGGTACACACCTGGAGAGAGTGATGTAGGGTACACACCTGGAGAGAGTGGTGTAGGGTACACAGCTGGAGAGAGTGGTGTAGGGTACACATCTGGAGAGAGTGATGCAGGGTACACACCTCGAGAGAGTGATGCAGGGTACACACCTGGAGAGAGTGATGCAGGGTACACACCTGGAGAGAGTGATGCAGGGTACACACCTGGAGAGAGTGGTGTAGGGTACACACTTGGAGAGATTGATGCCGGGTACACACCTGGAGAGAGTGTTGTAAGGTACACACATGGAGAGAGTGATGCAGGGTACACACCTGGAGAGAGTGGTGTAGGGTACACATCTGGAGAGAGTGGTGTAGGGTACACATCTGGAGAGAGTGATGCAGGGTACACAGCTGGAGAGAGTGATGTAGGGTACACACCTGGAGAGAGTGATGTAGGGTACACACCTGGAGAGAGTGATGCAGGGTACACACCTGGAGAGAGTGATGCAGGGTACACAGCTGGAGAGAGTGATGTAGGGTACACACCTGAGGAGAGTGATGTAGGGTACACACCTGGAGAGAGTGATGAAGGGTACACACCTGGAGAGAGTGATGCAGGGTACACACCTGGAGAGAGTGATGTAGGGTACACACCTGGATAGAGTGATGCAGTTTACACAGCTGGAGAGAGTGATGTAGGGTACACACCTGGAGAAAGTGATGTAGGGTACACACCTGGAGAGAGTGATGTAGGGTACACACCTGGAGAAAGTGATGTAGGGTACACACCTGGAGAAAGTGATGCAGGGTACACACCTGGAGAGAGTGATGCAGGGTAAACACCTGGAGAGAGTGATGTAGGGTACACACCTGGAGAGAGTGATGTAGGGTACACACCTGGAGAGAGTGATGTATGGTACACACCTGGAGAGAGTGATGTAGGGTACACACCTGGAGAGAGTGATGCAGGGTAAACACCTGGATAGAGTGATGCAGGGTACACACCTGGAGAAAGTGATGTAGGGTACACACCTGGAGAGAGTGATGTAGGGTACACACCTGGAGAGAGTGATGTAGGGTACACACCTGGAGAAAGTGATGCAGTGTACACACCTGGAGAGAGTGATGCAGGGTCCACACCTGGAGAGAGTGATGTAGGGTACACATCTGGAGAGAGAGTGATGTAGGGTACACACCTGGAGAGAGTGATGTAGGGTACACACCTGGAGAGAGTGATGTAGGGTACACACCTGGAGAGAGTGATGTAGGGTACACACCTGGAGAGAGTGATGTAGGGTACACACCTGGAGAGAGTGATGCAGGGTAAACACCTGGATAGAGTGATGCAGGGTACACACCTGGAGAAAGTGATGTAGGGTACACACCTGGAGAGAGTGATGTAGGGTACACACCTGGAGAGAGTGATGTAGGGTACACACCTGGAGAAAGTGATGCAGGGTACACACCTGGAGAGAGTGATGCAGGGTCCACACCTGGAGAGAGTGATGTAGGGTACACATCTGGAGAGAGAGTGATGTAGGGTACACACCTGGAGAGAGTGATGTAGGGTACACACCTGGAGAGAGAGTGATGCAGGGTAAACACCTGGAGAGAGAGATGCAGGGTCCACACCTGGAGAGAGTGATGCAGGGTACACACCTGGAGAGAGTGATGCAGGGTCCACACCTGGAGAAAGTGATGCAGGGTACACACCTGGAGAGAGTGATGCAGGGTACACACCTGGAGAAAGTGATGCAGGGTACACACCTGGAGAGAGTGATGCAGGGTACACACCTGGAGAGAGTGATGTAGGGTACACACCTGGAGAGAGTGTTGTAGGGTGCACACCTGGAGAGAGTGATGTAGAGTAAACACCTGGAGAGAGTGATGCAGGGTACTCCAGGTAGTACTTGATGTAGGCCATTAGGTAAAGCCTGTGGAATGAGGTAACATGGAAGATACTGAAAACATGTACCTGAAGAGACTGATGCGGTGCAGAGTGTCTGCAGGCTCTGGGCGCCAACTCAAGGGCAGGGGAAAGGCAAGGCAAATAGTTAACCACATGACAACAAGACTTTCAGCATGGAAACTTTGCTGGCTATTGGGGAGGGAGCTAATATAGGCTTGTCCTGAATGCTGTGATGCCGTATCTTTACTCAGATGACCCATTACGGGCGCCTCAGTTATAATATCTTTGTCCCTGTATGAGTATCTTTACCCAGATGACCCATTACGGGCACCTCAGTTATAATATCTTTGTCCCTGTATCAGTATCTTTACCCAGATGACCCATTACGGGCGCCTCAGTTATAATATCTTTGTCCCTGTATGAGTATCCACACCCCATTATAGAGGAGAAAATGAATAGCCCTCTGCTACCCTAACAGTCATGTAGTAAAAGATGACTAATAAGGGGTTTGTTGAAATCGGATATGTTGGGCTGAAAGGTGTGGACACTGCAGCCTGTAAACCACAGCACAGTGTGCTAACCAACCTTTCAAGAAGAGGTTTGGAGGTTGAATAGGGTATCTCGGATTTTCTCTATTGGTTTCCCATCCAGGATGCAATTCTTGAAGACTCAGGGGTGGTCAAACCTTCAAATTGCAGCCTGGAGAGAAAAACATGATGATTGATGATGATTGGCACCTTTCCGTCTTTTCAGATGACAGTGTTATATTGCGCTATGAGGAGGCATGCAGCCCATGGCGATGGTGAGTGTGACTAGCAAGACCCACCCGTGTGGAGAGGAAAACAGTAAGTTTAAAATAAACAAGTCAATAAAAATAGTGTGAGAAATTGTTTGATTTTCTGTTGCAGGCTAAGATACAGAAGCACCAAGCGTTTGAGGCAGAAGTTGCAGCTCATGCTAATGCCATTGAGATGCTGGATGAAACTGGCAACCAGATGATCAGTGAGGCTCATTTTGCCTCAGAAATTATTCAAGTAAGTGATGGAATTAAAACACTTTAAAGTTTGTTGTAATTAATTTACAGGGCTTTGCAAAACCAGCCCCTAGCATATTTTTGGAGTTTGTGGTTTGGCTAGGCAGTTTTTATGTTCAGTAGTTTGCCATTGCTTTTTAAAGGATAGGCTCTTGATACCAATGTTGAAACCAACACAAGAAGGCCTGCTGCAAAATCACCACCGCTGGAAACAACCCAGCATCCTGGAATTATCAGGCTAGTTATCAGCCACAGATGTCTGAAATACTTTGTTTGATTATTTAATAATTCTTTCTGTGTGTCTGTTTGTTTGTTTAATAAATAATCTTGTTGTTTTCTAGACAAATGATGAGAATATCCTAGACAGATAAAAAGAGTAATGGAGATATCTCGAAAGAAAATGACTCATGAAGAGAACTGGTTCCCACATCAGTACATTATGACAGTAGGAAAGCTGGAGGGAAGGAGAGGCAGAGGGAAACTGAGAGAAAAGATGCTGGACAGTTTGATATCATGGCATGAAGGATCATCTGTGTCAAAGTTGATTGAAAGTATGTGAGACAGAAGGTTGTGGATAGACACTACCAACGCCACATGATATGGACTTTGGAAAGAAAAAATTATCTTAAATATATTAGTAGTTAGGCATATAATTGATTGTTTAGTAAACAGTTTATCATTTCATTCATAGTCATATTAGTATGCTTATTTGCATTTTTAAATATGAATTTTTTTTTAATTACCTGTGAGCGTGTCTTTGATTGTTTAAATCAAAACATCATCATTGTCATTATCATGTTATGCCAATATATGTCATGAGAAAGTCTGCAGTAAATTCCTCCACTCCATTGGATCCTGCGCAATCTTTTTGACATCATTGATGGAATCCAGTCCTTCACCTTTGGCCTAACTCCCCAGCATTCATGAGTTTCTCTTGGGCATTCTCATTGCCTCAGTCCATTTGTTTCCCATTTCACTACATGTATGGTGATTCTCTGCCAACTTCTCACAATATGCTTAATATATAATCATCTTCTCTGTCTTATAACTCTTTAGACTGCACATTGATGTAAAAAAAAAATAGTTGTTGACTGCATATTTGAAATTTGGTATCATCATCATCGGCTTTTGAGAGAAAAAAATCATGTCCAGCCAGCATACCTGAAGGGGAAACTTTAGGTTATAATTGTGAGTAGGTTATTTGCACCATGCAAAATGGCTTAACAATGCTTGCCACCAAGTAGCCCTGAAAAGGACTATTGAATTATTGCTGTATTCAAGGCGACAGACCCAAATACTGTCCCGACCTTCGATGAAGTCGTCTTCCAGCTAGCCAATGGGGTATCCTGTTGCCGATGATGGATATTTGCTATGTAGTTTTTTACAGAGAACTTAACAGACATTATTTTCTTTTCCCCACACCTTTTGAACTCATGGTAACTGGAAACTCGGTGCAACTAAGTTTTGAATTTTGCAATATTTATAACATCTTAAAATGTCTATGTCATTAACAGGACCGACTGGATGAACTTCATCGCCTGTGGGCTTTACTTCTTGCCAGACTGGCTGAGAAGGGCACCAAGCTACAGCAGGCTTTGAGGTTGGTTCAGTTCATGAGAGAGTGCCGAGAAGTAATGTTCTGGATCAACGATAAGGTCAGTTATTCTCCAATGTCTTTTGGATTATAAGTTGTGAGCTTGACATGAATATCTAGGACCCAGCTGTAAAATTATGTTATGTAATGTTATTACAGTTGGCTTCACTGCACATTGGGTATTCCTATGGGTGCTCAGTCCTCCTTGTGATATGCTTATGGTACAGTTTTGAACATGGAAAATGTAATGCAGTTACAAGAAACCATAGGTATAAATATAACAGAACATTAGAAAAACAGCAGTAATTGTAATTACATGGTATCAAAACTCAGTATCAAAGAAAATGGGACTGTAAATAAAATGACTGTGGTCAAGTATTTGGATACCTTGATACCAGCAGATCAAAGACTGTTAAAAAAAGTTAAATTTAGTATTCCTAGCAGAAGGAGCATTTCATGGGATGAAGAATACTTTGTGCAGCTTATATCATTAATCCTTTAAGGTGGAACAAGTCGAAAGCCATATACCATATTTCTGTAAGTATAGGAAGCACTTTAAAAAAAATATAGGGTCTAACAACAGTGTGCATGTTATATAATGGTTGTAGATCTTTATGTAATCATATTTTTTGTGTCTCTCCAAATTTCCAGTCCAGAAATCAAGGTGCATCTTATAGATTGTATCATCTTATATTTGGGAAATTAGGGTAGATCAGTTCTTGATGCATGAAGTGAATTGTGAACATTCATGAGGTCTTAGTGCACAATTATGAGGAAGTTGACATGACAAGATATTGTTTTATAAAAGAATAGTGAGAGAACTGTGGGTTTGAAGATGTCTGGACAGAAATTATTCTGATTCCATCAAATCAGCCTTGAGCGTAGCTTACAGTAATTGACTCCTCAATCATTATCATCATCATCCTATAACACTGCATGTCATTTGATCACCAGTTGCTGTTGACTGTCTGATCAGCTCCCCTTGCCTTTTATGGTCAAATGCAATGGACTTAATGGTTGCTTGCCTTAGACTTGTTCAGTCAGTCCAGTTCTTTGTCCAGACCTTTCTTGATCTGCCTCTTCCCCTCAACTGAGCCCTATAGTATTGTTTTTGAGAGGCCGTTAGATCCTTTTACATACCGGTACCATTGCAGAAGAGGTTCGTAGCTGCCAGTGTGCTGAGTAATTATTTGACGAACCTCATAATTTGTGATATGGTCTCTTTATGATGTGCCAAAAACTGTTCTGAAAGATCTCATTTCCAATGCTTGTATCTTTTTTCGAGTTTAAATTAAGTTTATATAAAGGTAGTGCTGAGTTGCATGTTTGTAACTGTATACCAGGATGCTGTGATAAATCAATGTAAATTATGCATATTTATCAGGAGACCTTTGTGACATCAGAAGACTATGGAACAGACCTGGAGCATGTGGAAGTGTTGCAGAAAAAGTTTGAGGAGTTTCAGAAGGTAACATCTTGTCAAAATTATGTTACATATTATTCTTGTACTCTTCTTCTCCTCCATGTCTTCTTCTCCTTCTTCCTTCTCTCTTCTGTTTTCTTCTCCCTCTCCTACTCCACTTCCTTATCTGCCTTTTACAGAGCAGTTGACATGTTGTTTTGCGATTTACAGCTAGGCTGCAATATATATGCCTTTAGGTCCATTATATCTGATTTCAGTGAACCTGTTTTAGTTGTTTTTAATGCTTGCTAAAGGGCAATGTTCCCCCCCCCCCCCCCCCTTCCCAAAAAAAAAGGGTCCTGTTATCCAGACTAGATCTTTATGTATTTGAGGGGTTTGGATTTTTCTTTCTGCTGCGAATTTCTTAATTTTGTTTGCTGTAAACTTTCATTACTTTAAGTTATCACTGAGGGTTGAAACCATACACAGCTGTGATATCAAGGCTTGAGCATTTTCTGTTTCATTTTTTGTTGTTGGTAATCTTCTACAGGATCTACTGAACCACGAGGACAAGGTGGGTCAGGTGAATTCTTTGGCAGAGCAGCTGATTGGAGATGGGCATCCAGAAGAGGGAACTATCAGACAGAAACAGCAGGTCAGTTTAAGTTTGTCTTCAGCTTTAAGCCTTTTGCCCAGGAAAACTTAAAAATTCCAGACAAAAATCTGTTAACGATTCTTTTTCCACACAGGTTTAGGTTTAGGTTTAACAACAGATCAACATCATGGCACAAGGGTAGTAACTCATAAGTGCTTCCTTCTACCTCTAACTCAAGCCTGAGTCAGAAGAATCTCAGCGTAGTGCAGGAACTCCATAGCACCGGCCAAGATCTTGAAATACTTTAGGTAGATTTTCACTCCCAGTTTTCCCCGGGCAGCACCGTTAGGCTACTCTGTTTGATTTCCAACCGCCAAGCGATTCTTTACGTGTGTTTTTACACAGGTTACTAATAAGTTTGTTAAAAATGTATTTATCTATATTTAGCTTTTTTTTTCTTGAAATATGTAAAGATATTTAAAAGTAGTAATCAGTAAAGATGAACTTGGTGAAGCATTTAATGGAATACATCTTCTTGGGTCTTAAATAAAAGACATGTATTGGGTGACTCATTCTGTGACCCTGTTACCTTTATCACTGAGACTTATGGGAAAATCTGATGTCAACTTGGTTTTAAAAAGGACATTAAGCTCAAAGGAAACTCTCCCTCCCTCTAAATGCTATTGTTAGTTAATATTTTCATATCCTGACCTCCCAAATGTCTGCACAGTCATAAAAGTAACCAGTGGCATTACGTGTGTGTTTGTTAAACATTTCACTATAGAAAAGTGACATTTATGCGGAGTTTGACCAAACTGAAAGTATTCAGTTTTTCAGCTTCTTGGGGAGAAAGGGGTTAATAGACTTAAACAGTTTTATGTCTGCCCACGTTTGACATTGCACCTCACATGTGAAATTGCAACCTACATTCAACACTGCACCCTGCATTTTGTATAATCTGCCCCCCAAAGCATATGTATATGTTGTAGCTATGTATGTACTGAGAAGTAATATTTTATAATTTTTCGCTGCCAGGAGGTGAATGAGGCGTGGCACCGCCTTCGGCAGCTTGCATTGATCAGGCAGGAACGACTGTTTGGTGCTCTTGAGATACAGAGGTTCAACAGGTAGGTACATCTGACCTTTCTTCAGTCCGTCCAAAGATTCAGTTATCATTGTGAAATTTTTTAATATAAAGAGATCCCAGTAATTTAAAGTTGGGGGGGGGGGGGGGGGGGAGAGAAAAAAAAGGGGGGGGGGGGAGTGGATTGGACTGAATGTTTAAAACAGGGAACATGGTAAGGTTTATGAAACTTTAACAATGTGACTGAATTTATAAAACAAAATATTACTGATTTTATAAAACTAAACCTAGTGAATAGTACTGATTTAAATTAATTTCTGTTTCCACTTCTATCCTGAATATTTTTATTTCCACTTCTACTCCTGTTTTAATCTTTATTTATGTTTCTACTTCTGTTTTAAATAATTTATGTTTGTTTCTAGTTCTGTTTTAGATATTTGTGCCTGTTACATACTTCTGTTTTGAAAGTGAGTCCTGTCAACATTCATCTTCTTTATTTTTTTTTGCTATTTCTGCTTCTATTTTAGATATTTATTTATATTTCTACTTCTCAGGCTATCCATCAGGGTTCCAGCATAATTCCAAATGGCTCACCCCATAATATCTCACTTTCAATTATTCAGCTGTGTTTCCCTTTCTGTTTTAACTCTTTGAGTCCCAGGGGGTTTAGCATCAGAGACCCAAGTGGTGGTAACACAGTTTTTGAAATGTTACAAGTGTAGCATATTAAAACAGACCATACTGATTCTGCTGCCACACAATATACACGTATTAAACATCAAAGTGATCAGGGATTGTTGAAGAATAATAATAGAATACGGCTACAAAAAAACAGTGTTAGCTGTTAATTATTAATAAATAAACAGATGGTATGTTAGGAGAAATTAGTAAAAAGAAATAATAATTTTTCCACTTACCGCCATGGCACTCAAGGAAAACTCAATAAAATATATCCAAAATGAATCACAAATGAACCTGAAACACTTATATACACAATCTGTCTATTAGATCTCGGTCCGGAGAAACTTTTAGAACATCATAACAGAGCACAATGTTTTGGTAAAGAAAAATGACCTCAGAAAACAATAAGCATTTAAAAAAAAAAAAAAAAGAACTTTATTTAACAATCAGTTTGCCCATAATTTTATAGTATATTTTCCCAAATAATAAGGGATTCATACTAGACCTAACTGATGCTGAAGAATATTGCCTTTTTCACTATTATTTATTCTCTTTGTACCAGCTGACTTTGTTATCATTGTAGGTTTTGCATGAGGTATATATCAGAGCTATCCCTCATCAAAGTTTGACTCTATCAGTGACTGAAACAAATATACATTGTAACTTTGTCTAGCTTTGGAACATCTGATAAACTGCTCTTGTTTTATTAAAATATTGAGCCTTCTAAAGTCATAAATCTTTGTTGGCATGCAGGAAGAAGTCTGCTCAGAGGCCATATTATTTTCACACAGACACTGAGTAACTCGGTAAAGCTCACAAACATGCTACATTTTATGCTTTAAACACCTTTTCGTATAAGCCTAATGGTCGAAATATGTGACATCGAACAGGAAATAACATTCAAAGCTGCCAGTTTGTGTCATTAAACTGGCCAGTGGTAAATTAAAAACCAGTACTTGTCAAACACTGATTGGCCGTCTGGGTAGTAACCAGTTAGCGCGTGATGCGTTCCTTGGGACTTTAAGAGTTAAATATTACTTCTTGTTGTAAACTTATATTTTGAATATGTATTCATGTGTCCTTCAACAACTTCTGTTTTGAATGTTCATACTTTTTACAAATTTCTAATTTGAGTATTCATTCCTTTCCCCTACATCAAATTCTGTTTTAAAAATATTCCTACTTATTACAAACTTCTTTGTTGAATATTCTTTCCTGTAACATATGTTTATGTCAAATATTGTGTATGTGCGTAGTCTTCTTCTTCTTCTGCATTTCTATTCCCCAATGGAGCATAGGCCCTCAACCAACTCACGCCAGGTCGTTCTATCCTTCGCCATTGTATGGGGCTCTCCCCATGTCCTCCCCATATTTCTAACTTCATTCTCCAGCTCTCTTCTCCATGTGTTTTTTAGCCTTCCTTTATTCCTATGCCCCTGTGGGCTCCAGTGCAAAGACATTCTAGTTATGCTGTTCTCCTGTTTTCTCAGTGGGTGTCCCATCCAACGCCAGCGTCTTTTCCTCACCTCTTGGTGCACTGGAGCCTGTTTAGTTCTCTCCCAAAGTTCTACATTAGTTATTCTATCATACCATTTAATTCCCTCTATTCTTCGCAGGCGCCAGTTAATGAATGTTTGTAATTTATTAGTAATTGTCTTAGTTGTTCTCCATGTTTCCGCCCCATACAATAGTACTGATTTGACATTAGAATTAACAATTTTTAGTTTAGTATTTCTTTTAATTTCTTTTGACCTCCAAAAATTCCCTAGTACTATGAAAGCCCCTCTTGCCTTTTGTATTCTTATTTTAATATCTCTATCAGTTCCTCCATCTTTATCTACATTACTGCCCAAATAGGTGCACGACTCCACGTCTTGGAGTGGGGTGCCATTAAGAGAGCCCACATTACTATTTACCTGATTTATTCTCATGATCTTTGTCTACTGTCTTGTCAGGGATGCAGATGAGACCATATCATGGATCCAGGAAAAAGATGTAGTCCTGTCAACTGATGACTATGGCCGTGATCTTGCTAGTGTCCAAGCATTGCAGAGGAAGCATGAGGGGGTGGAGAGAGACTTGGCTGCCCTGGAAGAAAAGGTGTGTTCCAGCGTATTAGTTTAGTGATTCCATTAGTGTTATCATCTGGGTAGAGATTGGACATCACAGCATTCAGGACAAGCCCATATCAGCTCCATCTCCCTCCTGAACAGTCAGCGAAGAGTCTCCATAGTGATGGTACCCGTTGTGTTCTGGTAAACAACTTGTTCTCCCCCCCCCTCCCCCTCCCACAAATCCTGAGTGGAATGGTGTTTAGAGCCCGAGGACACTCCCCGCTGCATCATAGTATTGTCGGCTTTGAGCAAGTCATTCATTGTATGGATAATATAGTTACTGAAGGTGTTTCTGTAGAGAATAAATTGTATAATTGGACCCCCAAAAAATGATAAATGTAGGATGTACAATGTATGTTGAAACAGTCACATAGATAATGTCGCTGTAACAAACTTCCTTCAGGAAACAGTAACAAAATAATAATAAAGGGGAGAAATAAATTAAAGTGTTATAAATAAATGAATACATGAAGAATTGACAAAACTACACTCAGGAAATTCCTACATGTATCATCCCCCTCTTCAGCAACCAACAATTGGTTCCCATATTGATAGTACCTGCTGCAACCTAATTAAAAGATGTTGACTATATTTTAGGCATATTGTGTATAATAATCTTTTATAAAGGTGCAATAAAAGGGAAAATATATAATGTAGGAAAGCATAAGATCCTTAACTAGGTGTCAGGTTGATCCAGAGAAAGATAAACAGAAATAAAATGGAAAACGTAATGTGTATTTTTAGGCCCTATTTTATGGAAAAAGAATAGACCTACATCCCCCCTCCCCCCTCCAGAGTGTGTCATGAAAGGCAAACTATTTGGGCGTCTGCTGAAATTGAAAAAAATTTCTGGGACTTGTGCCTGGGCGATTCTCATCCGAATGGTGGCAATTTATGTCACCTGTTGCTGATCGCTCATTGTGAGGTCCTTGTGGGGTTGAACATCACTCACTCATATGGCTTAGCTTTTGTGAACTTGCTTCATAATTCTGAAATACATGGTTTAATTTTAAGCAGCAGATACCTTTGCGTCATGCTGGGAGCCACCCTGTTATAGTGGCTAGATGTGGATCTAGAGGTTGTTGGTTCAAATCTGCATGGAACCAGAATTTTTCATACATAACCATGGCTCTCAGGTGGACCCAGCCTTAAAAAGTTACCAGGTAAAATCCTGGGAAGTAAAGGTGGCCGGCACGATGTTGACCACACCACCCACCAAAACCAGTTTGGTCTATACAAATATGAATCTGGCCTCGTATGCCTGATGTGGCATGGTGTATAAAGGGGTCTTCACTCTACTTTTCTAGATAGTGATATGGGGTGCCAATTATTTAGAAAGCAGTTGCAAACTACTGAATGTAAAATTGCCTAGTTAGATCACAAACAGCCTGGGGGTGCTGGGGTTGGTTCTGCAATGTCCTGTACAAGGATATGCAAGTAACTTTATTATACAACAGTGATGTGATTTCTCGAACAGGTGTATACATCATGGACACCTAGCAGCAAATGTATACAAAATTGTTATAATCCCTGCCACGCATATCACTCTTAGTATTCTCACAGTGTGATCTAATATTATACCAAAATAATCGGATTTCTATCACCAGGTGTCAACACTGTTAGCAGAGACAGATCGACTCCAGCAGTTACACCAAGATCAGGCATCCCAGATTCAGGACAAACAGCAGGAGATTGGAGAGAACTGGAAAAAACTTAAAGCTAAAGTGATTATCATTATCATTGTTTTGGTCACTTTTTGGGTGTTTTTCACACAACAGGCTCCTTGTTCAGTGTACATTTTTATTTGTTTCTAAGAAAAACCTGAAGCCGAAAATATTATCATTAGTTTTCTTTTGTCACATTTTTTCCACAAGAAAAAGATTCATTTTGCCAGGCAAAAAAAAAAAAATTTGCGTGGTTTTCAAACAGTAGTACAAGAGTCTCACAGCAGAAGTTATTGGGGACTCACCACATAATATAATAGTAGGAGGACAATATCAAGAGATAAACAGGCAGCAGTCTGAGAGAGGGTACAACCAGGGCAAGAGACACTGTGTTGGAGATCCATTGCAGCCAACCTTCAGTGGAGACGGCACCTGATTGATTGACTGATTGATTATTTATCAGTTTCTGATGCCTTTTCATGGACTTTCTTCACATCTTCCATACAGCATGTTTATTAATTGTCTTGTATTTCAAATAACATAATGCCAGATTTAAAAAAAATATTATTTTTGTCATACAACAATTTTTGCTATCCCTTCACCAGTTAACACAACCCACCAACAACGGACAACAGGGTTCTTTGTAACCATTTTACGCTGTCCTAATGTGTCTGTACTATATGGCTATACGAGTGAACAAAAGAAGTTTTTTTCTTCTCATAAAATAACCCCCTCCCCCCCTCTCCACCTGTGAAAGAATGACTGTCTCTTTCTTATGTTTGTGATAGGTTGTCTTTTAGTCCTTGCCTCTTTTAAAACATATGGGTTGCTGTTTTTGACTGTCCTTGCAATTGTAAGGATTCCTCTGTAAAACCATGTATCCAAGGCCTCAAGAAATAGTTTGGCTTGTTTATTAATTTCAAGGATTCGCAGCTGCATGTTAAAACTGGCTGTATATAGCATGCGCGATTTCTTTTTCTAACATCCGCTGACATGGATTTATTGCATAAATGTTCTTCATTTGATAAAATACAGTTTTAGCCTGCCTTTTCTGTTCTTTATCTCTGTGATACATCTTTCACCATAGTACTTAATTTATTTGCTGAAAGTTATAGTTTACAACTACCCATGCAAGGGGCTACACATGAAAAGACCTAATGTGAAAGCCAGAGGTCACCTAGAACATGGATTCTTCTTCTTCTTTTGTCATCTCACTGATACCAGGTTGTAGCCCAGTGTCATGGTTTTCTGTATTTGTCTTGCACTTCTCAGGTGGCTCGAGTTATGGATTTGTTCATCTTTATACAGGTTACAGCTACACCATTTATTAATCTCTTTCTTGGTCTTCTTCTCGCCTTCCTCCCAGATGTTCTACTGTAAAAAGTCTCATGTGCAGTTTGGTGTGGCTGCATTCTCACTAGATGGCTGAAACATTTCATTCTTTGTCTGTCAGTATAATTCAGACATGGTCTTATTCCAACTTTCTCTCTAATGCTGGTATTTGTAACCCTGTCTCGTCTAGTGTTGTTAGTGACCTTGCGGAGACAGTGCATTTCACATGTAGTTATTTTCTGTTTAGTGACCTTTTCATTGTCACTGTTTGGCACTGATAAATAAAGTAGGGATACAGATGTTATTATTCATTTGCTGTTTTGCTGGAAGGGAGACATTTAGGTGCCTTCTGTACTCTGGCTTCTGTCTCTCTATCGAGTCTGCCATCCTCAGTAAATATGCTTCCTAGATATTTGAATTCTTGTACTTGTTTGATTGGAGTACCATTAACATGGATTGATGACATTAAAGAGCTTCTACACTGACACAAAATGACAGTAGCCGTTGCTGCCCATCAAGCAATGAATCACAAACTGTTCCTTCCCACGACACTTAATGGCTGAAGTGAAAGTTGATGATGTTGAGTTATAGTTTGATGTAAACTCTAAAGTTAGTAATGCACCTGATGAGGTGAAGCGAAATACACCAGGCAATACATGTTGTAATATATTGTATGTTTATATGCATATATTCAAGTTACATAATGTATTTTGTTACTACAGAAGTTTTATTCCAAATGTTCTTTTTAAGGCCATCGAGCGCAAGACCAGATTGGATGATTCGTATTATCTGCACAGGTTCTTGGCTGACTTCCGTGACCTGGTGTCCTGGATCTCTGAAATGAAAGCAATAATCGCCGCCGATGATCTGGCTAAGGATGTTGCAGGGGCCGAGTCTTTGTTGGACAGGCACAATGAGCATAAGGTGAGAGTTTTGGGTCACTAGGTAACTTACAGTTATCAGTTGGAGTTCACCAGTAAACCAGAAAGCCACCAAAACCGGCACAAGACGATGACCATATTATGGACAGACCAGAGCAAGTTATTATTTTACGCCTTAGAACAGGACACACTCGACTTCACAGCCACATGTACACAAAAATTAGAATCGGCAAAACAGACATGTGCACATGTGGACTGGCATCTGAGACAACAGATCATGTCCTCCAAGACTGTTCCAAACACAACATATCAAGGCAAAACTTTTGGCCAAGAGAAACACCGGTGCAAGCCAAACTTTACAGGTTACTAAGTGAATTACAAAAGAAAGTGAAGTTCATACTAGAGACAACACTGCAGATATAAATAATCTATTTCAAGCGAATGAAAGAAGAAGAAGAAGTTTGATTTCAGAAACATATTGTTCATATTTACCAGTTTCCATTAATTATTTTTTAAGTATGAGTAGGTCAGAATGTCCCAGCAAAAGTCAGATGTGTGTAGGATTCTGATCACACTGGGCTGAGTGCAGGGACTGGCCACCAAGCGCTGCAGAATCAGAAGTTTGACAAATGATTCTTGACAGTTCTCGCCCAGGGTATGTGATAATCTATACAGAGGGCTGTGTGATAAGTGGCAGAAGAAGCTCTTAGCATAAGTGAATGGAGGTCGCTTAGTGCAACAAAGCCTGACATATGACACCACAACATCTAGTTTGAGAATGGAGGTGGAGGCAGTCACTGCAGCCTTTCACTGGCTTCAGAATCAGCTGTACACACATTTTGTAATTGTAACCAACTCACAGAGCATGTTGAGAATGGTGGAAACAGGTATGCTCTGTGATAAGTGGCAAGCATCGCTTGAAAGATTCTGTTTAGTTAGCGTCCTTTCGATATTTCCCCCAGTATATGTCGATGTATTAAGAAATGAATAAGCAGATAACGGACTGGTTCTACAGACCTTGGTAGTGAATTGATGCATGACAGGTTAGACGTTGTAAGGGCCCTTTAACGGTACAGAAGCACAGATGGATCATCAGGGTCTGACGAGAATGACCAGTGACCAGGGGATCGGATTGACGATCAGCACTCAAGGGAAAGATATGCAGACTGCTATTGGTACCATTAGAAATGGAACTCTACGCTTGCTGCTGAAGATGGGGACAGAGTGCTTAAGGGAATGTCCCAAGTGCTGTGATGTTGATTCTTAATTAAACATTCAACAGTAAAAATTATGTAACTAACAACCATCTTGGTTCCAGTGATTTTTAACTATGCACAGATTTACCCTGTGGTGTTTTGTGCACATAAATATTTGCCATTAGTATTTTTAAATCTCTGTTAATTATGTTACATTATACGCAACATAACGAACTAATTATCATCTTTCAGCCGTTCACTTGATGTTGATTATGATTTTTATCTTCAACACTCAGGGTGAGATTGATGCCAGGGAAGATAGCTTCCAGTCAACATCTCAAGCTGGCGACCGACTAGTGCAATCAAACCATTTCGCTGCTGATGAGGTCAAAGAAAAAGTGAGTAAATGCACCAGTGCTCGTACATATAATATGAGAAAAGGAGCAACATCACAATTATACTAGTGCTAGCACAGATAATGTGATGTCTGAGAGACAGTATTGTGTCCTAATGCTGCAAGTGCACACAGTTAAAAGATTGAGCAGCTTATTTTTCTTCTGTGTTCACCCATAAAAGGGTGATTGGCATGTTGTGATTGGTATGTTGTGATTGGCATGTTGTGATTGGCATGTTGTATTTTCATGTCTAGCTAGGCAGCGATATCTGGACCAGTTGACCCAACACATCCAATTTCCGCAAACTTATAATTAGTCAGCCTTTACTACATGCTTGTTAGGGTTGCATTGGGTCTCTTTACCAAAATGGATGAGAGACCCCCCCAAAAAAATGTTAGCAACTAATATTAGTATATAGTTAGTTGCATATCTTTTACAGGACATTGCAGAACCAACCCCAGCATTTTTTGGCTGTTGTGGTCAGTATAGGCAAATTTTACGTTCAGTAGTTTGCCATTGCCCCTGAACGGTCAGCTCTCTGTACCACTGAAAAAACCAACACAAGACAAATCATCTGCAGCTGGGATTGAACCCGCCACCCCGGCATTGCAAAGGGTGTTCACAACACATAGGGCTCGCAGTCTATTCCTCCATTCTTTTTCTTCCTGTGCAGTCTCTTTGATGTCATGGATGGAATTCAGTCCAGCACCTTTGGCCTTTCTCATCATCGTTCATTTTGGGATTTCTTGTGGACGTCCTCGTTTCCTAGCCTTCCCACTATTAGTGTATATTATATAACAGTTATAGATAAAAGTGGCATGATGTTGATGACATCACCCATTGAGGGATGGTTGGTCTGTGTGGATTTAGCACCATATGTCTGATAAGCTAAAGGCAGGTAAGGAGTCCTTTAACCTCTTATGGGTAACAGTAAGTTATATACCTCATTAATTTTAAATGCATATAACACTGATGTAAAAGACATTTAAGTGATGTATTATTAGTGGCACACACTGTTATAAAGCCATTACAAAAAAAGTGACTGGTGGCGGTGGTGCTTTCCTGAGAAAAAAAAAACACACACAAAAATCGTCACGTTCCACCAGCATCCTGGATGAGGGAGCTTTAGGTTATAATTGTGACTAGGTCATGAGCGCCATATAAAATCCATGCCAACCAGAGCCCTGAAAAGGACTCCTGCAGTGTTGATGCTATCAAAGGAGACAGAGCCAAATACTGTCCCGACTGGCGATTAAGTCGTTCCACCGGAAAGGCCATGGGCGCTCGGTTGCCGTTGAAAGTGAAAGATGAAAGACCGTTTGTTTGTATACCATTGGCACATTAGGCATGTGATACTAGACTCATATATTTATAGATCAATCGGCACTTGGTGGGTGATGTGGTCAACAACATCACACCAGCCGCTTTTATTCCCCAGGACATTACCTGCTACATTTGAGGCTGGGTTGACCTGGCAGCCACCGTCAATTGTATATTGTAAAGTAATACTAGTTTAGTCTAGTGTTAAATACAAACACAATGTAAAAGAATAGTATAGACTATTGAAGGGAATACCCTGGGCACATAAAAAGAGTAATGAGGATGTCTTGAAAGAAACTGACTCACGAAGAGAACATCAGAAAGAGACAGTCTGCATTCTTTGGTCATGTGATGAGAAGGAGAAAACTGGAAGTACATAGTGACAGTAGGAAAGTTGGAGGGGAGGAGAGGTAAAGGGAGACTGAGATAAAAAATGCTGGACAGTTTGACATCATGGCATGGAGGATCATCTATGTCAGAATTGATTGAAAGTACACAAGAGAGAAGATTGCGGATACACATGACTCCAATGCCACACAGCATGTACTTTATGAAGAAGAAGAAGACAAAATAATAGAATGACCTATTGTAACATTTTGATAAAGGTTAATAAAAGAAATCATATCAGATGTGAAGAAACAAAATAGTTTTGTGGCAAGCTTCCTGGAAATGAATGAGTTAATAATTCCTATGTGTTTTGCGGTACCTTCTTGTGGGGAAAACAAGAATTGACCTACTGGCTTCCTAACAAGCATGTCATAAGAGTTGACTTATTAGGGGTGTCCTCCGAAGTCAGAGTGCATCTGCTTGAGAAGCAAGGAACCAACTGTCTGCATACAAATAAGCCAGATCTTTAAAATGGATGTGCATGCAACACTCAAGTTTTGCAACAACACTTAAGTTCAGAGATGGACGAATGAGAACGTTCCGCTGAAGTTTACAGCCAGTGAATGCAAAGAAGAAGAACTGAGTTAATTCATTCATTCATTCAGTAGCATGTCCCTCGCGGAACCTCGCTGCCATAACAACACTCCGGAAAACCTTCCTATCCTGAGCAAGATGTCCTGCGTCTGATACACCCATCTGGAGATCATCTGCCACATCCTGCACCCATCTTCTCCTTGGATTTCCTCTTCCTCTCTTCCCAGGCATATACCCCTCCATTATTGTTCTCTCTAGACTTCCATGACGTTTCAAGTGACCAAAATATTTCAATTTTCTTTGTTTTATTGTCTTTACTAGCCAACCCTTTTCAATATTCAGCTCTTGAAGTATGGGATGCATTTGTTTTTTCTTTACCCAAGATACGCTTAGAACCTGTCTTGTAAATTTATATTCGAATGCATTTATGCTTTACCCAAGAATATTTCGTGTGTGTTGTGGTTTTTATTGAATGAATATGAACGAATGAAAATGAATTTAATTGCACCGTGAGGCATTTATCTTTATTATTAGTTGTAAATTAAAATATTGATAATTCATTTTTTTTTTAAATCATCACTAGTGAAGGCTAAAGTGAATTTGTTGTTCGTGTCTTAGAACCTGTCTGTAACATTTATATTCGAATGCATTTATGCGCTGTTCCGCTTGTTTAGTAAGTGTCCAGGTCTCACAGGCACTGAGTTAATAATAATAATAAATTAGTTTGCTAATAATATTTGTGTGTGTTTTGTTTTTTATTGAATGAATGAACGAATGAATTTAATTGCACCTGAGGCATTTTATTTTATTATTAGTGTAAATTAAAATTATTGATAATATTTTTTTTTTTAAATCATCACTATTGAAGTGCTAAGTGATTTTTGTGTCCATTCTTTACAAAAATATAATCATGATTTTAGTTTGCTCAATTCTTTCTCTGTTCTTTTTACCAGCTGACAATACTGAGCAATGAAAAACACAGCCTGTTGGAGCTATGGGAAGAGAGAAGGGTGTTGTACGAGCAGTGTATGGACCTGCAGCTGTTCCTTCGTGATACTGAACAAGCCGACACGTGGATGACCAAACAGGAGGCCTTTCTGGTGAATGATGATCTTGGGGACTCCCTGGACAGTGTTGAGGCATTGCTGAAGAAACATGGGGATTTTGAAAAGTCTCTGACTGCACAGGAGGAGAAAATTAAGGTAGTGTTCTGCCGGATGAGATGTTGTACACATAAATAAACTGATGGAACCCTTGGGGTCGTAGAAACGTTGTATATGCGATAAACAAAGAGACAATTTAATGGTAGTCTTTCTGCTTCTTTCTGTGAAGGCTGATCAATACATTGTCTGTGTGTTTATTTTATATATATATATAGTGTGTAATGAGATGGCATGTTATGATAAGTTAGGTTGACTTTTTAAATTTGTTTGTAAGCCTGATTTTACTACCGTAGACAGTTTTCTGCTGAAGCAGAAAATCAGGATGGAAACAATAAGCGAAAAGTCCTATACAAGGACATATGTATCATGGACTGTTTCACAATCACAATGAAGAAAATCTGGGCTTCGGTGGACAGGTTAGACAAAGACCATTCTCAGTTTGCTAGTTTGTAATGCGGTTACTACATTCTGCCTCTGGGGCTTGGTTGTATTTGTAGTGAAGTCACAGGTTACTGTTACATAGGATTTTTAATTTGGGTTGTCAGTTTTCCTGTTTAGCTAGCTGGCAAGTATTTCTACTGATTGCGCTGTCTTTGCTGGATCGGGTGGTGGTCGGCTGACAGCCTTGAAAAGGACTGTCAGTTTTGCCTTTTGACCATACTCATGGCTTCCAGACAGGAATATGAGGGTCACACAGTGAAAGAGTTTAGGGCTTCATCAGGTTAGTCAGTAGCAGTACATTCCAGCCAACCATCATTGTGGATATTGGCTCCCAGATTGACCCAACCCAAAATAGATGCCAGGTAAAGTCCTGGGAAGTAAAGGTGACTTTCGTGATGTTAGCCACATAATGGAACGAGTGCCGATTGTTTTATAAAATATAGGTCTAGCCCTGTATGCCCTATACACCTGAACATGTGTGAAAGGGTCCTTTACTTTTATATGATTACCAATCTAAGTCAGCCATGATTAAATGCATATTAAGTGAAGTACCTTAATCTAAGTCAGTTGCATATCCTTTACAAGATGTTGCAGCACCAACCCCATCATTTTTTGGCTGTTTGGATTTTTACTAGTAAATTTAACTTTCAGCTATTTGCCATTGCTTTCTGAATATTTGGTTCTTGATACCATTGCCAAAATCAATTTCAAAGTGGTCTTCTCCCAAAACATCCCAGCTGGAATTAAACCAGGTATCTCAGAATTACAAAATGCGTTCAGAGCATATAAACTACAGATGCTGACTTAAACTGTACCATAAAAAAAACAAATGCATAGCTACTGAAAGCAACATAATTTTATCACAATTTGAACATTCAAGATCTTTATAATTTAATGAGTGCAATTGTTCACATTGCCCACAAGAATCCTTAAGGGTTTAACCAATCAGTTGACAGTTCTTTTGCATCTGGGTCTTGGATAATTTTTAGGCATACAGGCATCAACAACAACAACATAATACGTCATTGGATAGCAGTACGTTCCTTTTTTGTTTTTTTTGTTTTGTTTAACAGCATATAAACACACATTAAAATCTGACTTCCTTGTTCCCCAGGCTCTGGATGAGTTTGCCACCAAACTTATAGACAGTGAGCATTATGCGGCAGCTGATGTTGCAGCCAAGCGAGACCAAGTGAGTACACCTGTCAGTGTCAGATATGCTCAGAACTGTCAGATGTCTCTCGATGCCGTATCTTTATGGGTGTTTCATATATCCTTGTCACTGTCACATATTAATATTTGAGAATTAGTTAGTTAGTTGACAGATCATCCTCACTGCACATGAAATAATTCAGTCCATAAGTGCTCAGTCTCCTTGGGAAAACCTGCAATGTGTAGCAGCTGATGACACCAGTTCTGTGTTGGTTTTCTGTACTCATTTACTGTTTTTATTTGGCTTTATGCATTGCATCTAGTCTGGCTTCACTCCTCTTCACTTGCTGTTCGTGTAGTCTGGTCACAGGGTTAAGGCATTATGAAAGCAGATGTTTAATTTATAAGAGTAGATGGTTCATCACAGTCTGGTGAGAGTGATGCAGCAAGGAGTTGCAAGGGGATCTGGCCGATACGTGACACTGAGAGAAAAGGCAAGATGGACATATAATCAGACTGCTACCGGTGCTGTTGGTACTGGCATTTTGCGCTGGCTCCTGAGGATGGGGACTGAGTGCTTATGGGAATGCCTCAGGTGCTGTGGTGATGTCGGTTCTTGAATCAGCTCAACTCAACTTAGTGGCATGTACACATAAATCATTTCATTCTCACCATAAAATATACAGAAGTTGTGATAAGCATTGAAAATATGAATGCATTTGTGTGCAGCTCTTGCAAAGACACAGTGCCCTGTACAAGAAGTGTGCCAGCAGACGTCACATGTTGGAGCAGTCTTACCAGTTCCAGATCTTTGAGAGGGACTGTGATGAGACCAAAAGTTGGATCAATGAGAAGCTGAAAACTGCTTCAGATGAAAACTACCTGGTGAGTAGCCTCATTTAACATTTAACATAGGTAGATCAGAATCATGATAATTTGAGACTGTAGTCTTTTGGTGTGTTAATGGAACTAAGGACTCAGTCTCTCAAATCTAACTTGTAACCTTAACCTTACTGTGTCTCAGTGTTAGACACTATATTTTGTTGTTTTAAAGTCCCACCCTGGCTGTTGCATGGGGCCCTAATATAACCCAATCTATAGGTTGAACAGGGTTCCTGGAATTCACATTAAACAAGAATTTTGTGCTTACTGGAGACTAATAAGAGCAGTAATAATAACCAGTTTTTAGAGGTACCTTGGAGTGGTTGCTGCATAGGAGGACTGAGCATGCATGGGTATGCCCAATGTGCAAAGACCTAGATTGTGATAGCATAACATAATGTATCCTCAGGAAGAGCAGACATACAATCAACGCAGTGTGTATCCTCAGCAAGAACAGATATTTTGACTTTTTTATGGTTGGTTGGTTTTTGGGGCTATTTTGTTAATTTAAATCTTAACCTGATGACGTAGCCCACCCCAAGCTAAAGCTCTACACTGGAACCCACAGGGTCATAGAAATAAAGGTAGACCAAATAACACTTGCAGAAGGGAGCTAGAGGGCTAAGTTAGAAAGAATAGGAGGAGATGTGGTAAGCTGCATATGATAGCAAAAGATAGGACACCTTTTTCAGAGTTTGTTGAGGGCCCATGCTCCACTGGGAGATAAAAGGCAGGAGAAGATGAAGAACTGAAATACAATCACAGCAGTGAGTATTTTCTGTAAGAACAGATGTATGAACACTCATTACTGCCCATATGTACCACTTTTTAAGGCAATGTAGATAGGGGTCTTGAAACTGAGGATGTAGGACTGCATGGTTAGCACAGTCCCCACGGACTGTGTACGTTAGGGTTTTATTTCCGTACCTGACAGAAAAATTCACCTTACCAAGGAATTGAACCTCGGTCTCTCAAATGAGAGCCTGTTGTTCTTAGCAGCTCAGCAAACTGCTCCTTGCATATGTATAGTCTTTAGCAAAAATAGACTAATAATCAACACAGTGTATGTCATCAATGAGAAAGAACATATAATCAATACAATATATTACAAATAAGCCAGATCTGTAAAACGGATATGCACACAACATTCAGGTTATGGGTCAAGACTAAAGGCTGATGGTGGATGAAGAACCCGAACTTTCCGCCAGAGCTTACAAACGAATGAATGCAAAGATGAATACACTATATTACCTCAGTGTAAATAAGTGTACAATCTATAAAACATTAGTTATAAATGTGTAACAACACACTCTGTGCACTGTGACAGATATAGATATACAGGCTAGTTGTACAGTTTTCTTCTTGGCACAAATTGGCAGTGGTGAAACTTCACAAGTTAGTTTGGTTCAGGAACATGGTGAGACATGATTCGATTGCAAAGACTGTACTTCACGGAACATTGGCAGGTAGTTGAAGAAGAGGAGGGCAAAAAAGAACTGGAATGACAACATTAAAAAATGGACAGGACTAAGATGTCATACAATTAATTATTCATCAAGTGGAAGACAGAGAAAGATGGTGGGTTTTGTGGGTTGGTGCTTCCATCGATACACCTCCACGACCCTGTTGGGTCAAGGGTTATATTATAATATACAGTATTAATATATGGCTGTGAATCTCAAACAGTTAAACAAGCCAAACAATTTCTTGATGTGATTTTACAGAACAATTACTAAAATTTATTGAACAGCCTAAAGAGTAGCCCAGATGTTTGAATGCAGTGAGGAGGTGTGGGAATATTTGTGGCAGCCTTTTGTCATGGTATGGAAGTGAGTCCGCATGAATGGATACACACTGTTGGAGATTGCAGGTTGTAGAGAGGCAAAATCACCCACAGCTTTTGGCAAGGCATTTGATACAAGCTATAGTATCAGTTTTTATTAATTTAATCATCCATGCAAACAAACACTTGACCCTTCAGCCAGTCTTTGTGTTCTGACCAGACATACATGATGCAGAAAACATACTCTACCTATTAACATTTAAAAAAAACGATCAAATGAAAACATTGCACCAGTGGAATGAAATGAAACTAGCCAGACAACTGATGAAATGATGGCTGGGGATTAAAGCATAAAAGAAGTCTCTAAAAAATGTTCATCACTTTCAGACATTATCAAAGGAAGAAGATGGTGAGGCATGGATATGGTAACAGAATGCCTCATGACACTATGATAAAGATAGCTTTCTGGTGTATGGCAGATGGAAAAGAAGATGTGGACGACCTAAGGAAACTTGGAGAAAGATAGTAGAAAGTGGAACCTAAAATAATCCTTGGGATAACCATGGGCAGCAAAACAACAAACTAGCAACAGTGGAGATCACTTGTCAATGCATTAGGTGTCAACAGCAGCATGAAGAGGAATTAGATGTAAACAAGCTCTAGTTTCATTATCTTTATTTTAAAAACTGCTGATTTCAGGAGCATAAATCTTTTATGAGCTGCAGACAGTAAACATCTTTTGTTTGTTCTCTCACAACAGGATCCAACCAATCTACAAACAAAGCTGCAGAAACATCACAACTTTGAGGCTGAAATTGATGCCAATAAATCTAGAATAGAGAGCATTCGTGTTACAGGGCAGCAACTGATTGACAAGGACCATTATGCCAAAGGACCAATCAAGTATGTGCATATTATTTCTGTTGGAATTAGATTATGGGGTTTTCCCCCTTGCAGTCTTTTATAGACTTGAGATTCTCATCCTAATAGTGAGGATGTTAGTCTCTCAGTTGAGATTCAACTTCACTCAAAATGAGCCTTTTCCATACAGAGCAGACTACCTGAAATGGGTACTTATACCCAGTGTTTCTTTTCAGATCTGATCTTGGATATTGCATTTACAGCACAGAGGTCTCCATACAATTTTTCTTTTATTAAGGGTGCCTAGGGCCAGTCCTCTATTTAAAGAGTTCTGTGTAGGTCATATTACCGTAGATGAGCAGTGGACCTGGCTGATTTACTCAGTGTTCTCAGAGAAGTATGATGTGCTGTCGGGATGTTCTGCTAACTATCTAAATATATTTTACCACCATCTCAGGGTTGTCTGTAAACACATTTTAGACTGAGTTACATTTTGAACTTTTAGAAGATGCCCTAAAATGTATGAGCCAAGCCATGCGACATGTTTAATTTGCTATTATTTGTGTGTATTAAGCAACACACTGTGTGTTATTATATTTATTATACTTGATATACAAATATTAAAGAAATCTGGCTAAATATTTTCGCATGAAGACAGTGTATGTTGCCTCTTTGAGAGTAATATACTCAAGCTAGTTGTGCAGTAAGGGAGCAATAATAGCCTACCGGCTGAAGTAATTGATTATGGGTTCCAGTTCGACCCACCTAGGAATGTGTTCCGGGTAATGTCCTGAGAAGTAAAGGTAGCCAGCATGGTGTTGATCACATCAAGCAGTGAGTACCGTTTGTGTAAAATTATCGTATAACTGACCACGACAGTTTAATAATGGAATTGTATTCTCATTAAGAAAATTCACAACAGTGTCTTTTAGATTCTTTGCTCCATGAGAAAAAATGAAGATGAACATCAAGAAATGCTCAGTGGCTCACAGCTTTTAGGGCAGTAAATGTCAATTGGTATATACCTAAGATGTCTTGAGTAGAATCCACCCATTAATTCAATAAATGCCTCCTAAATATTGGCAGATAAATATAACAATTCCAGAATCTCCATACATTTTGACGTTTTCTTCTAAGAAAGGGTCAAATTCACTCAGCATCTCTAGTAGACATTATTAGTTGCCATTTTGTGCTGACCCAACAATCTGACTTTCTCCATGAAATGGCAGTTTGTCTGGGTAGAAGTACCAGTTTAAAGTTGTCTGCTCTTGATGGACAGGGCTCAGTTTGAGTGAAGTTGAAAGCCACTAGGATTCCAGACTAAGCGAGTAACACCCAGTGATGCAAAGTATCACTATTCGGATGAGAATCCCAAGGTAAACATCCCAGAAACCCGGTTCAGCCATGAGGTTATTTTCAGGCCTCCGTTAGTTACAAACTAATAAGCTAACCTGAAGCACAAACAGCGTAGGACTGTGTATATGTGATCAAACTGTGAGTGAGCAAAGTTTATGAAGAAAAAAAACCACCATGTTCAACCGCTAGCTACCCCCAACGGGGGAAACTATCGGTTAAATTGTAGTCTTTATTCATTTGCACCACATACATGGCTAAAACTACTTGCCACCAAGTAGCTTGAAAGTGGGTCTTGTAGTGTTGATGTAGTAACCGCTTCCGGCCACCTTCCCAACTGGCGACAGAGTCGCCCTTTGGCGGACCAGTAAGCAACACAGGCAATCATGGTGGCTCAAGTTGTCTTAAATACTCCTCACCTGCCACAGGGACTTTAATTTACTTCTGAGTCAGCTGGTCCAAGATTCTCCTGTTGTAGTCTGTTAAGGAGAGGGGGAGGAAGGGAGGGGGAGATAAAGTGAGGGAGGGAGGAGTATTATTTCAGTTTTATGTTAACATAGAATTAATTTAAACACCAAATATATTTTTTATGGCAAATCAAATTACATACTCAGATTAGCATTGTGGCGCCCCCAGACTGGGCCCATGCAATAAGGTGGCTCTGCAGAGCACATGTTGGAATGTCCCGCGTGCAATAGTGTCGATTCTTGATTGATTCATTCATTTTGAATAAAGACGTTACCTGGCTGTGTTGTTTCTTTTATGCACATATTTTTTCTTCTTATGTTTATATCTGTTTCTTAACCCTTTCGCTGCTGCGCCCTCTGCCAGCCAACGTAACCACTGTGCTAAGCCAGGCGAGAGCTAATCTTTCCCCCTGTGCTGAATACCGTTTTTTCCTTCAAAAGCAGAAGACGCGCTTACGGCATGGGGTAAAAATTGTACACCTAAAATAAAAAATCGTTGAAGGCGTGTGGTTGAACTTTGCGCTGACGAGTCAGACGCGCTAGCTTACTACGCCGTGAAAACTCATTAACAAAAAAAAACACTACAAACTTCAAAGCAAACACAAACACTTTAGTAAGCAAATACATGGTTTTTATTATTATTAATAATATCTTTGTGTGTGAAATATTTCAAAACAATGTCCGACACACAATGCCAAATCACATTCCTTGCACATGTATCTGGGTTTCCGTCGTTTTTTTTTGCTTTTTTGCGCATACCACACACTTTCTGGTTGGGAATTTTTTCTGCGATGTTTACGGACTCTATTATTGAAGTGGAATGCCTTTGTACTAAACGAAGTGGCAGATCTTCACTTTTTTTGTCCTCCTACACTTTTTCTCTTTTCCTTGCAATATTTATGTAGAATTTCTCTTACTAACATTAAGTGAAAATTCGGCAACAGGTGTGTTTTTCCCCACAACAACTTTATATAATGAATGTGCACAGTACACCAACCACGCTTCACATAACGTGTAAAGCATCTAAATCCACCTGAACGCACGTGACAGGATGTTTAATTAATTATTTCTTTGTTTATCTGTTGCCGCAAATGCTAACAGCTTAAATTTAAAATTTGCATTTAAAATAATTAATTTAAAAAAAAAAACGGCACGTAGGGGTTGAACGCTGGACCTTTCGATTGTAAGGCAGACGTAATACCAACTACACTAGAAATTCACATGAAACTATGAACTGAAAAAAAGACCAGTATTGTACACTTTAATAGGCAAACACATTTATGTCAGTTGTATAGTATATAATTAACATTAATATTAATCATCACGTCAGTACGTGACTATATCTTTTTTTTTTTTTTTTTTTGATTATTTTGGATCCGTTTCAAATCCAGTCGATGTAGATAGCTAGGTCATATGGTCACTGGTCAGTCTTGTTCACAGCCAGAAGTACACGTGTCCCGCCGGCGTGCCGCGAAGATAACCTAGCTCATATAACTCACACGTTTCAAAGTGATCCTTAACTACTACTCCTTGAAAGAAACTCTCAATTAATTCTTCTTTATTTAAACAAATGTTCTTGTTATTTTGTATTAGAAAAAAAATTTAGACTAACGCAAAACCAGAAATATTTTCAGGGGCAAAAAAATTACCGATCACCGACAATGCTTCTATGGTAACAAAGAAACAGGATAACGTGAAATGCATCTAAATACGCCTAAAACTCACTCGATAAGGGTTTTAATTGTATGTAAACGGGTCAGTTTGATCAGATTAAGTTAATGTGTATTGCTATTTCACCCCTAAGAATTACTGTCCTTAGCAATCTGTAAAAAAATGTCCAGAACGAGATATCTCGTCCTTAGCAGTGAGGGCACAGAAAATTGCAGCCGAGTTATCTCGTCTTTAGCAGTCTGCCGGGCAGACGAGTTATCTCGTCCATAGCAGCGAAAGGGTTAATCACTGCTGAGGAATTGTTTTTAAGAACCATATTTTCCTAAACTTTTTGTTAAAAACAAAGGGGGTTGGGGGGGGGGGGGTGTCGTCTTATGCAAAGAATGGGTTCAAAAATATTAATTTCCTAATTATGGGCAAAAAATAAAAACAGGGGCCATCTTATACGTGGTGTCCCCTTATACACTGAAAAATCTGGTATGTGGTTGTTGATTTTATTCCACAGTGGAGATGTTCATACATGTTTTTTTTGTTTGTTTTTTTTAATTAAAAAATTTTTTAAATTTTTATTTTAGAGCGATATACTTGTTCTTATATTTTGTTGTATCTGTTTTTCATTGTTGTTGCTACTTAATCTGTATGTTTTGCTGTTATATTGTATTTTAAAACTATTTTAAAGGATATTGAATCATAGACTTTTATCTTCAGAGAACGAATAGATGAGATTGAAAAACTCTGGTCCACTTTACAGGCTCAGACAGAGAAAAAAGGTACATGCATCAGCACAGTGTTGACATAGTCTAAACTGTCAGTCTGTTCTGTGTCTGTACAGTGTAACTTAGTCTGATTCAGCAGTCTGTCTGTATCTGTACCTGCTTAACGTATTTCGTTGTAGGGGAAAAGAATTGGATGAAGATTATTAACTCATTATTTCTGTACCCCACATCTTGAATTATCTCATTTGTGTACCTTATGTCATGTGTTAACTCATCATGTCTATACCTTACATATTGTGTTAATGCATCATGTCTACACCTTACATATTGCATTAACTCATCATGTATACACCTTATATGTTGTATTAACTCATCATGTCGATACCTTACATATTGCATTAACTCATCATGTATACACCTTATATGTTGTATTAACTCATCATGTCGATACCTTACATATTGCATTAACTCATCATGTCTACACTTTACATATTGCATTAACTCATCATGTCTACACTTTACATATTGCATTAACTCATCATGTCTACACTTTACATATTGCATTAACTCATCATGTCTACACTTTACATATTGTATTTACTCATCATGTCTATACCTTACATATTGTGTTAACTCATCATGTCTACACCTTATATGTTGTATTAACTCATCATGTCTACACCTTATATATTGTATTAACTCATCATGTCTATACCTTACATATTGCATTAACTCATCATGTCTACACCTTATATGTTGTATTAACTCATCATGTCTACACTTTACATATTGTATTAACTCATCATGTCTAATGTATTAACTTCTGACATCTTGTATTAACTCATCATGTCTACACCTTATATCCCCCCCCCCCCCCCCCCCCCCCCCACCCAGCTTCCCCCACTCTGCCTTTTCCATCTGTCTTCCATAAAATGAACTAACTTTCATGTAATAATGACCTTGTATTTACTTGCATTGAATTTGATGTTTAAAGGTTAACAAGCTCAATGAAGTCAGCTCGACAGCAGCAGTAATTAACCGCAATGTGGAAGATGTTAAGTCTTGTTGGCTGATGTTGAGAGCACTTTGATCTCTGAGGATTATGGGAGGGTAAGATCTGCCAGCCCCCCCCCCCCCCCCCCCCCCCCACCCCTGTTCCCCACTCTGCCTATTTCGACAAATGAACTAATTTTTCTGTAATTGACCTTGTATTTACTTTGCGTGTTGAATTTGATGTTTAAAGGTAACAAGCTCAATGAAGCAGCTCGACAGCAGCAGTTCAACCGCAATGTGGAAGATGTTGAGTCTTGGTTGGCTGATGTTGAGAGCACTTTGATCTCTGAGGATTATGGGAGGGTAAGATCTGCCAGCTTGAGATTATTTTCTCTGTTTTTAATGTCTGTGTCTATATATCGACCAATCTCCACAAATATTAGGCTGAAATGTTTTGGCCATATCAAGTGTCATGGCAGATTGGAAAATATATTAGCAGAAAGTATGGTAGCAGGAGGGGGGAGGATGTCAGGGGCCTACCAACACAAAGATGGGTACAGGATATAAGTGACTTATTGGATATGAAAGTGTATGAGGCAGGAGAGCTGGTGAGAGTCTTGAGTTTTTTTCAGGCAGACCGTGATGAGACAGACTTTCTGCAAAGGAACTGGTACATGATGGTGATGATTCACAAATAAGAAGATTATATTTGCTTGTGCTCTCTGTCTCCCTGTTTATGTGTGTGTGGTATGTATCTGTCTGTCTGTCTGTCTGTCTGTCTGTCTTTCTATCTCTCACTGTCTTTCTCTCTCTCACCATCATCATGCCCTTGCCGATCACGCCTCTCCACACTTTGTGTTATCCAACAGCATGTATCAGTTTCTGGGCGGACATTCTTCCAGGCTATGACCAAAGGCTGTCAAGAATCTTCTCAGGCTGTCTCCCTATTTCTGTCTTTTGTGTGTGTGTGTGAGCACAGTTGTCTACTGTCTGGTCTAGTTTCTGTTATCTCATAACATGGCCAAAGCATGATGGATGTCTCATTCTGATGATTGGGATGTTGTCACTGCACATTGGGCATTCCCATGTGTGCTCACTTTTCAGATGCAGTAGCCACTCCAATGTACCTCAGCTGATTATTCCCATGAAAGCTGCTTATAGTGTCTCCTATCTCGGCTTCAAAGATAGCATAGATTGGCTTCACCATGCTTTATTCCCATGTCATGTAATTGTGTTAGTGTCAGAGATTCCTCATTATTCACACCTCTCCCTGATGATTGGGATAGGTTTTCTTTGTGCCCTCGCCTCTTTCAAAATATCTGGATTACTCATTTTAGGTGTCCTAGGAATTTTAAGCATTCTTCTATAAATCTGTGAGGCCTTTGGAAATTGTTTGCTTTCTTTACTAATTGTCAAGGAGTCTATAACTCAGCCATTGATTGGCTTTAGATAGATGTTGTGGAAACATACCTACTTCAACATATGACAAGTAGCGATGTATTAAAAGAATATATTGAAGAGACCAATAACATATCAAGCAGATGTAAGTAACTCTAGAGACTAAAAAATTCAAAGTAATAGACCAACTTGCTTATGTAGGTTGTAACATTGATAGTCAAGGCAACACAAAGAAAGAAATTATGTCGCACACTGGCAATTCATCAGCAGCTTTCACAAGCTTTCACAAAATATGGAACTCAAAATTATATAGTTTTAGGACCAAGTTAACATATTTTCAGTTCTAATGTTATTTCAGTTTTAATTTATGACAAGGAACGTTGCAGAATGACTAAAGACATTGGATAAAAGTCAGTGCATTAAAAAATACAAATGCAGGAGGGAAATGATGAACAAGAAATTCTAAATATAACACTGAATGTGCCTAGAAAGCTTACTGGAGTGAATGGAAAAGACACACATAAACTCAACTTTTTCATTCCCTCCATTGAGCTTTATAGCCACATTTTGTCTTATATTTAGCAATCAGCTCATCTGTAGTTACCCTCTGTTTACATCATTAATTCAGGAGGAGTGAAGAAATCAAATATATGTCTGAGCAACCACTATTTTCAAAATTTATAAGACAGAGATATTGGTCACATTCAGAGAAAAGATGAATAGAGAGTCACCGAACAGGCAGTGAAATGGGAAACAGAGGGACTTAGAAAATAAGAACATCAGAGACCCCAAGGTCATTCAGTCTGCTGTACTTTCAATCAACTCTGGCACAGATGATCCTCCATACCATGATGTAAAACTGTCCAGTATCTTTTCTCTCTGTCTCCCTCTGCCTCTCCTCCCCTCCAGCTTTCCTACTGTCACAATGTACTCCAGTTTTCTCCTTCCCATCACATGACCAAAGAATGCAGACTGTCTCTTTCTGATGTATTAACAAGGAATAACAATTACTTAAGAAAGTATCAATCCATTCTGTTCTTAATGGCTGAAATAGAAGATTGAAAATGAGTGAAGTGGCTAATATGAGATATTATTCTTCTGATATTTTCTGGGTATTTATTATTTTTTTCAGGACTTAACCAATGTCCAGAACCTGCAGAAAAGACATGCCATTCTTGAAGCAGATGTTTTGGCTCACCAGGTACTGTCTGTTCACTTGCAGTTTGTTTTTAAATATTTAAGCTGAATATCTGAAAGAGGCAGACCAGGAAAGACCTGGATACGAAACTTGAGTGACTGGCATCAGAGGTGGAGGGAGCTGATCAGACAGTCAACAGCAACTGATGACCCAATGACCTTCAGTGTTACGCGATGATATATTGATGAACATGGGGGTTTCCTGTATGGGTTCTGGGCACCCTATATGGGGAGGGTGGCACCTGCCCCCCCCCCCCCCTCCCCCAAACAAGCATATCTTCAAAGATGACTAATAAAAGTTTTGCTGAAATCAGATACGTTGGAATAAAAGGCACACATATCATGGACTAACTGAAGACCACAATAAATCCGACCAGCCAGCTTTTTAAGGTCGATTGTAGAATAAGACATACATGTGAGTCAGCACAGGTGCTAGTACACTTGTCTACTGCCCTGTGGTATTATGTTTATGTCTTCATATCTTCAGCTTCAAGGAGTTAACAGGGGATTTTAGCTGATGCTCAACAGTCAAGGGAAAGGCAAGACAGATGTACAATCAGACAGTTACTAGTACCATTGGAATTAGAACTCCTCACTTGCTGCTGAAGTTGGGGGACGGAGCACTTATAGGAGTGTCCCGAGTGCTGTGATGTCGATTCTCAATTCAGCATTAAACATTCAACACACAAAACATGAATTTCATTGATGTTTTAATATTAAGGTCAAGATGTCAATGATGATACAAATTCTAAAGGATTAAATAGATTATTTAAAGGCTGTTTTAAGAGATTCTTAGACAGCTAAGAAGAGCAACCCAGTTGTTTTTAAAGAGGCAAATGCTCGAAGACAACTTATCACAAACATCAGGAAGAGACGTTCATCATTTTTTTATCATGTTATGAGAAGTTGGAAAATGGAACATGTGACAACTGGAAAGATCGGTGGAAAGAAACACAGAGGAAGACAGCATGAGAAGATTCTTGACAGTCTTTTGTCATTGCATGTAGGGGTGTCAACACACAAACTGATACATGCAGTTGCAGATCACAGATTGTGGAGAGGCATGATCGCCCACGCCAGTCGGCAAGGCACTTGCTGATTTAGAGATATCAGTACTATCTCCCTCTGTCTTGCACACTCGTAACTCATCTGTTTTATACCATATAGCTATCACTGTAACTTTGTCTCACAGTTCTTACTTAAAAGCAGGGCCATTCAACTTAGTTTACTCTGAGGCTAAAATGTTTGAAAATGGGGATTATCATGGGCCAGATGCCTGAGCCAAAGCATAGACAGATCATTAAAAGAATTGAATTGGCAGATGATCCTCAGGCTACTTGCTAGGTCTCTACAGGCCAGATTTGGCCTGTTAGCCACCAGTAGAATAGTCTTTGCTTTAAAATGACCGCATTAACGCAAAAAATTAAAGAGTTAAATGGGAAACTTGTCCATTTTGTTTCCAGGATCGGCTGGAACAGCTGCAGTCACAGGCTACTATATTTCATAATGGAGACCATTTTGACAAGGACACTATCAAGGTGAAAGAAGTGCAAGTGGTGGACCGCTACCAGAAGTTGACGGTATGTCTTTATAATATTGACATCAGTGATAACTTTCTCTGATCAATGAAACCCTTCATATGGGTTCTGAGGCCCCATTTTAAGGGGAGAAATGAATAGCCCCATTCCAGGATGTGAACGGCAACTAATTAGAGGGTTTTCTTTGAAGTCAGAGTGCATCTGCCTGAGAGGCAAGGAACCAACAGTATGCATACATGTAAGCCAGAAAAATGAATGAGCAAGCAAAACTCAAGGTCTGGAACAGGATTTGGAGGAACAGCCAGACCTTTCTGCTAGATTTTACAGACGTGGATTGCTAAGAAGAAGAGATTAATGAAACAGTGCATGTTATGAGTGATGAAATAACATGGGCAAAAATGTATGAACGAGGAATTAAGTGTGCATCTGGCAAGGAGGGATGAATGAGAGGAAGAGATCGGCGTGTGTGTAATCAATGTGCTATGGAAACAGTGAGCATCTACACCTTACGTCATTTGCTGCGGGAGACGGAGCATCCATGCGTATGCCCTGTGTGCTATGATGTCAATTATTAAATCAGTAATCCTTGATCTCTTCTGTTTTAACTATAAAACACTGGTCAAATCAGCATCTGGGGTTTTTATGAAATATTTGATGTAACTGCAGCATGACTCAGTCAGTTAAATATTGTTCATAATAGCAGCAATTAATAATTAATCACATTTTTTAGTGATATTGATATCAGTTTAAAAATAAAATATTGAATGGATGTAATAACGCGTGGCCTGGTCTGGGAATTTGTTCATGAACATGAGCAAAATCATATTAATATTTCTAGAAATATTAATTAGAAGTAGAGAGTATGGCGCAATACAAGGATTAATGTAGAGAAAAGAAGCATAGACAGGTCAGTTACTTAGTTTCCTGTGTGGGTTTCTGGGGCCCATTGTGGAGGTGGGGGATTTGGGGAGGGGATAGACCCAGTACCGCTCTAAAAAAGCATGTAATAAAAGTTGACTAATCAAGGGTATTTTCTTCATAGTCAGAGTGTATCTATCTAAGAGGTGAGGAACCAACAGTCTGCATAAATATGCCAAATCTATAAAACAGATGTGCATGCAAAACTAAAGTTCTGGAACAAGATCATAGTCCAGAGGTGGATGAACAATCAGAACTTTGCACCAAAGTTTACAGCTGGTAATTGCGAAGAAGAAGATAAAGCACTTAAATCTTTACAGATGAGTACCTTCTAGAATTAACATGTCTTACTTAGAACCTTTTCAACTGTGTCAGAAAGATATGCACCAAAGATGCACTGATACAGAAAATTTAAACCCACAAAACTGTTCTACATCTAAATTGATACCTCACAGAATTTATCAAGAGTTATTGTCACCAGCCTGAATCATCTCAAAATAAAGTCTCAGACCAAAGCTGCAGATATTTGTTGAGCTCACATTTTGATGACATGATGTACTGCAATGTTTACAAGACTACTTCTTCATCATTTTACTGGTACCATCGGAATAGGAACTCTTTGCTTGCTGCTGAAAATTGGGACTGAGCACTTATGGGAGTGTCCTGAGTGCTGTGATGTCGATTCTCAATTCAACATTCAACATTCTTCTTCATCATGTTCACAGGTGCAAACTCTAGCAGATATTTCTGGTTATCCATACACTTCTGGATTTTAGTCTTGTTCCAGAACTTGAGTTTTGCATGCACACCTGTTTTACAGATCTGGCTTTTCTGTAGTTAGACTGTTGGTACCTTGCCTCTCAGGCAGATGCACTTTTGACTTTAAAGGAAACATTTAATTAGTTGACTCTTAGGACATGCTTGATAAGAAGGCTGTAGGCCTGTTAATTTTTTTTTTACTTCTCCACAATGGGCTCCGAAACCCACATGATGAGTTTAGAAGACTGATTTTATAAAAAAAAAAACTGTTGGCCAAACATTCTGTTGCTTGCTGTTGATCACAAGATATCTAGAAACATGGTTACTGACACCAGCTGGCACAGTACAAGAAGATGATGATGATTTGTTGATAGTGAAAGATTATGTCTTCAATATGTTGTTATATTTATTGAAGGAAAAAAGTAATTATACTAATGATTCATTATGTTTAATCAAATCTAGGGCCCTATTCAACAACGTAAGCAGAAGTTGAATGAAGCCCTCACACTCCAGCAGTTTCTCCGAGATGTTGAAGATGAGGAAGACTGGATCCGAGACAAGGAACCATTTGCTTCTTCAAGCAACAGAGGTCAGAGACTATTTCTTAAACCGCTTAACACCTTGTTCTGTTACCCTAAAGTGCATTTTCAAGGATGTTGTTTTTCACTTTACAATAGACCAGAAACATGCATGTGGTCACTTGATCATCAAATATGATTTGTCTTTTGTAGTAATTGATCAGTCAGCAGGTTCTTTATAGAGCATCTATCTCTTGACTGCTAGCTCGACAGTCTCTCTTCCTCTAGCAAATTCTCAAGCTCTAATTACTTTCATAACCCAGTGCATCTTCATGTCAGCCGATGCCTGAGTTTTGAAACTGTACCCTCCATCACCGTTCTCTCCAGTCTACCATGACACTTGTAGTAATTACCAGATATTTTTTGGGGTGCCACTGCCTTGTCTCCAAAATCACACCCCTACTCTTCTTCTGCGCCTAATGTTGAAAAGATTCATGTTTCTCAGGTGTTTGAGCTTTTCATTTATCTCTATCTTCCTCTGTTTCTCTTGGATAGCATTTTCCCATAATAGGCTAAGTTATCTATTGTTTTTGTCCACTCTCATTGGACTACAGGTTACTTTGTAACCATCAGGTACCCCAGTGTAACTGTGTTGTAGGGTTGAATCAGGTTTCCAGAATCTGCTACTATTGGTTCTCATGCAAATAATGGCTCTTTAGGTCACTGGGTCTATCAGAAAGCATTCTTGGAGAAGAAAATTTTTAAAAATCCACTACTACAGTTGATATGCCTTTTACATTTAATTCTTTTTGTTCCAGATGGTTTCAAAGTAGAAACCCAGTTTGGCACAGGAATCACAGTGAAAAAGACATATGTAAGACTTTCAGAGATACAGCCTTTACTGTGCTGCATTAAAATATGTTTGTCCAGATTTCCATGCCCAGACCAAACATGAAATAAATAATAACACACCATTGGCAGTTGCCATGGTGTAGCAGCTAGATGCTCGCTTGCAGATCAGAAGGTCGTGAGTTTGGGTCCTGACGGAGCAGAACTTTTGTTTTCAAAAAATGACTTTGGCACCCAGGTTGTCCCAGCCTTAAGTGGGTACCAGGTGCTGTCCTGGGAAGTAAAGGTGCCTGGCGTGATGCTGACCACATCACCCACCAAGTGCCGATTGGTCTATAAAATATAGGTCTAGCCCTGTATGCCCAAAAGCCTGGAAAAGGGTCCTTAACTTTACTTTTACTTACGTGTTGCATTGGTACACATAGATGTAAGCTGAGTGCATATGGTATTGCTAGGGACAGTGACATGTGTGAGTAACCCTTGAATTGTAAGTTGGAATTTCTTCACGGCACTCTGGACATGTGTTAAATGTGCTCAGATACCCCTTCCCTCTCAACATAGAAATCAGGCTCTTGTGGTTCTCTGCCAGTCATATGCTGGATGACAAGACTTCTTATATTTCCAGTATGTCTGTCGTGCCTTGCTATGCTGATCTTTACTCTCAGTTCTTGCATTTTTAGTAGTAATATGGGCGGGCTGCCCCCAGAATATTCAGTTGTCGTCTCACTCTTAAGGCATTAACATTGTCGGCACAATCCAAAGGCTGGCCATCTGCAACTATGGCAGAGCCAGCTAATCTATCTGCTCTTTCATATACTGTGTATATGAATGGTTGTTATATCCAATGTGACATAATTAGCATGTCCTGTATGTTGTGAATCACTAGCATGGCATGTGTGGTTTGAGTGACTGTTAACATTTTGTGTGGTATGACCAACTGTCATGTTTTGAGTGGTAAGACAAGATGTAATTTCACACATTATATGATGCACTGTCTTGTCCTATCATAAAAGTCAAACACATGTGTGTAAACAGTTTCTTCTTAATTTCTGTCACTCCAGGCCGTGATTTGATTGGTGTACAGAACCTGATGAAGAAACATCAGGCACTTCTTGCGGAAATTGCTGGGCATGAACCTCGCATCAGCAATGTGTGCCAGACAGGAAATGAGATGATCAAAGAGGGTCATTTTGCTGCAGACACAATTCGTGAAACAACTGCCGAACTGAAGGAGAAATGGCAAGCTCTTAAGGTCAGTTATGTAGTATGTTTATTAGTAAAATCTTATCATATTATCTTACCAAATGATGAAAGGCAAACAAGAAAGCTCAAGAAATTAAGAATATAAAATGTCCTGACGAGGAAAACAGAGGTGGCAGTCTAATATAAAAACTGTAATAACATTCATACAGGAAAGAAAGCTTACCACATACATTTATGGGTAAACATGTCTCATAGAAAAGTAAAGATGAACAGTTCACTGTGTTAAGTATTTGTAGTGCATCTTATGTGTGCTGCTGCCTGTATAGTTAGGTGTATTTTATACTATTACTGTAAGTAGTTTACATACATATGCATGCAATGTTGGTAATTGCAGACTTGAATTGATTAAAATAAAGGCAGACTGTCCAAATTTGGACATTTGCCTAGCAAAACAAATGCCTACTGTTGCAGCCACTAGATAGGGTGAAGAATGGAAATAATAATGAGCTGATTGGTCAAAATTGGGGGGTATTTGGCCTATCTTTTAACATGATGGAGCACACTGAGAGAGTATAATTTTAGAGATTAACTTTGAAGTTCTGCTGATGCAGATTTCTATGTGTTTAATTAATAATACAGCTAGCAGCTGAATGAGTGGTAAAGAATACTGGGTCTCGTCTGGAAGACCAAAGTTTGAATCCTTGGTAAGAGGATGGCATTTTACCTAGTTATGTGCCTCAGTGAAAAGGCAGAAAATGCAGTGGTACAGACATAGAATAGGATATGACGGGCTCCATGAACAATACACAATGTTAAGTAGTCCATAAGTGGACAAACAACCAGAACTTTCCACCGGAGTTTACAGCCAGTGAACGCGAGGAAGAAGAAGAAGAAGAAGTAGAGATCAGTCAACATAAACTGTTACAGGATGATGATGATGTGCCCCTAAATTCTTAGTGTCACATTCGTCCCCCTAAGATGTCATACAAATAGGCAGTAATGACGGTTTATTTTTCAGTAACTAAAATTTTATACCCCTAAGGATAAACATTCTTTTTTTTTTTTTTAAATGTTTTCTGCTTGCAGTACAACTATTAAGACTAACTACCTTCTCTTTGAAACAGATGTAACAATAAAAGTTGGTAAATTGCTTATTCTTAGGACAAAGCTTTCCAGCGCAAGCAGGATCTGGAAGACTCACTTCAAGCACAGCAGTACTTTGCAGATGCCAATGAAGCAGAGTCCTGGATGAGGGAGAAGGAACCAATAGCTGCCAACACAGATTATGGCAGGGATGAGGATTCTTCTGAGGTAAGGCTTGTCAAAAGAGAAACATTACTGCTTTATATTATCTGAATTTATTGTTTGTAGTTATGACAAAGAAAACATGACGTGACTAAAAGTAATGGACCCATTTCAAACCTGATGCTAGAATATATTTTTTTATAATTACCCACACCAGAAGGAGACAGTCTACATTCTTTTGTCAGGAGAAGGAGAAAACTTGAGTACATTATGACAATGTCAGAGGAGAAAAGAGGCACACAGAGACTGAGATAGAAGATACTGGACAGTCTGATGTCATGGCAGGGAAGATCATCTGTGTCAGAAATGATTGACAGCACACAAGACAGAAGGTTGTGGATAGACGTGACTACCATAGCCACACAGCATAGACTATAAGAAGAAGAAGAAGGTTGAACATTAATTATTTATGTTGTCCAGTGTAGCATGTTTGTGTTGTAAGGTTTAACATTCTGTTACAGGCATTGTTGAAGAAACATGAAGCTTTCATGGCTGATCTAGAGGCCTACCGCAGTGTGATTGAGGATCTGAGACGCCAGGCACAGAACTGCAAGGTAAATATGCCACTACAATATTTTGTTGAACCAAAAATAGACATTAAAAAAAAAAAAGAATAAAGGACTTTTCTTACGCCATTGGTGCACTGCAATGTAATTGAGGATTTGATACACCAGGTGTAGAACTACAAGGTAAATATGTCAGTTTAGTCAGTCGTTGCATCAAGAGAAAAGTTATTACAAGAAAAATATTTTTAATTATTTAAAAATAAACTCGTTACTTACGCCACTGGGTTATCCGTATATGATGCTAGTTACATAATTTCTTAGATCCATCTGTACCTGAGTTGTGATATGTTCAACATCATGCCAGCCGTCTTCACTGCTCCTGAGTATGCTCAGGAAGATAGAGAAGGGCTGGGTCCAAAGGCAGTGGTTAGTGGCTCTACAGCGTTTACGGCTGACAAGGATTAGTTTCATTTTCATGCCAGGATATGTGGAGGTACAAGGAAATGAGCAAGCTGATTGACCTGCGGGTAAGGCTACTGTGAAAGCCAGACAAGCCATGGACCAGGCTGATATACTGAATGCTCTAAGAGAGTTAAGTTGTTTGCCTGAACCAATTGAGAACTAGGAATCTCCAACCATGGTTAGATTGCAAGAACAGCAAGTAAAAGGGGGTGTCGCCAAAGAAGAACACTACTCGGGTAGCCAAAAAAGAATAATAAACCACCACAGGACTGGTGTCATCAACTACAACATGCTGCAGGATTTACTGAGGAGGGAATCCAAGCACTTATGGACTGAGTGGTTCGACATGCAGTGAGGATAATGTGTCGACTAACTTTACTGCCAAGCATTTTTCTAGGTTCCCATTTTATGCTGGGGTGATTGGAAGCTTCCAGGTCATTTTTTTTAAAAATGTCCGCCCAATGCGGATTTGAATCCAAGTCCTTTGTGGCGATAGGCAAGCATGTTGTGTTATGTGAGTGAGCTAATTGTTGATAGTAAGATTTCCCCTTGTGAGTTTCGGGGCCCTGTTAAAACATAGACCCACTGCCTCCCTAACAAGCATGTTGCACATGGCGACTAAGGGGAGTTTCTTTCAAAGTCGAAATGCATCTGCCTGAGAGGGGAGGAAACAACAGCCATCATCATCATCATAAACCACCTCTGCCATTTAGCATCGTGGGGAGGAATAATTTGCGATCCAGTGCACGCTGGGTGCCACTGGCTATTGTCATGCTGTGATGGCGTAGAGTGTCTTTGATGTTGTCGATCCAAATTTTTCGTGGCTGTCCTCTTAGTAACAGTCTATATACAAATAAGCCAGATCTGTAAAATTGATGTGCATGCAAAACACAAAAACAAAACCTCTGGAACAAGACATTGGGCTCTCATGCGGGAGACCCACGTTTGAATCTTTGGTTTTCTGTTATGGAACCAAAAATAAAATCCTAACTTGCACAGTCTGTGACGACAGCACTAGCCATGCTGCCTTAAAATTCTTAGGCTCTAGGACCTCTCCCCCACTTGCACTGCAAAAGTGGTACATACAAACAGTAATTGGGAGATTGAAGGGTCGGGGCGAGGGGAGATAAGTTGAACAAGATTTTCGTGGTTTGCATTTCAAGTTACCATCCTTGAGATGTAAATTGTACAGAGGGGCAAGAGCTAGAACAACAACAACAACAAAAAACAGTAAAAACAAAAACAAACAAAAATTCTTGAATGCTTGTGAAACATGTTTGACATTACATTTATTTGGGTGAGAAGAAAATGTGAATTTTTTAAAAACTTGCAACATCTGTTTGACCTGCAGCAACAGGAGGCTCCAGTGATAGATGATTTTGGTATAGAGAAGGTTGTTGCACTGTATGACTACACAGAGAAATCACCACGTGAAGTCTCCATGAAGAAGGGAGAGGTCCTCACTTTGCTCAACTCCGCTAACAAGGTCAGACATTTGTCTACTTCAGCTTTGATCACTTCACAGTTTCTAGTAAAAAGAATGTTTCATGAGTCCAATTATTTAAAAAAAAAAAAAAAAAAGTAAAATTGAAACTAAAGGACTAATTTCCGCGCCTTCAAGCGTATTGGGCATATAGGGCTAGACGTATCCAGTTATTAAACATCATATTAAAGTGTTGGTGTCTCTGGCTATGACGTTGAGAATGCATTTAATAATTCTAAAATACCGGGTTCAGTTTTAGCTGTGGTGGATTTTGCAGCAGACTGTTTTTTTTTTTATTTAACAGTGGTATGGATCGCCACTGTTCAGAAAGCAAAGACAAACTATTGAACTGATATATTAATATTTATTTTAAAAAAGTACTTCTCCTTTTCCTACACCTCCTAATTTTCCTCTTACCCACATTTCTTCTTAATCGTCTTCTATTGTTTCCTCATTCTCTGCCTCTTCATTTTCTTCCTCCTCATTCTTCTCCTTCTTCATAATCTTTTTCTTCATTTCTCCTCCTCTTTATCATTTTCCTCCACATTCTTCTCCTTCTTATTCATCATTTTCTTCCTCCAGATTCTTCTCCTTATTCTTCTTCCTTCTTCTCCTCCACCTTCTAATTTTCTCTCTTAATTCTTTATCTTCTTCTTCCTTATCTTCTTTTTCTTCTTTTTCTTCTTCCTCCTTTATTCTGCTCCTCCACCTCCTCGACCTTATCATTTTCCTCCTTGACCTTATAATTTTCCTCCTCTTCCTCCTCCGTCTTCTTATCCTCCTCCTCCAGCTCCTCTTCCTTCTTTTTTTCTTCTTCTTTTTTGTCTTCTTCCTCCTCCTCCTCCTCCTCTTCCTTCTCCTTTTACCTTTCACTGCAGCATGGACCCACACCAAAGCATCATATTCAGTTTTTTTTTCTTTGGGGGAGGGGGGGGGGGTATCCAGCAGCAAATTTAATGTTCTCCTCCTTTTAGTCCATCTTGGTGGGCTGAGCTGTTTTTTCTCTTCTTGAATAAACCAATTTTGCAACTAATGTTGTCCATTGTATGAGGTGGCCAGCCTTATGCCAACCTTCATAGTTGCCTCCTATGACATACCGGTAGGCTACAATCTCACTGTTACTCTTTCCTTCCCTTATGATCTCTGATGCCCGTGGTCACTTTCCAGTTTATACTTCAGGTTATGGGTTTTCATTTGAAGTCCCTTCATCACTCAGACCTCTTGGGTAGTTAGCATCCTTTGGATATTTTCTCCACGTTATGATTGTGTGTTGGGAAATGAGCAGGCAGATAAACTAGCCGGTTCTTCACCGCTTGGTAGTAAACTGATGTATGACAACCTAGATGTTGTGAGGTCCCTTAAGAGCGAGCAAACAGTGAGGAGGCACAGATAGATAATTAAAGTCTGAGAAGAATAGCACTGCAAGGAGTTACCAGGGATCTGGCCGACGTTCAATACTCAAGGGAAAGGCAAGATGTATATACAATCGGACATTTACTGGAACTCTTTGCTTGCTGCTGAAGATGGGGACGGAGCGCTTTAGGGGGTGTCCCAAGTGCTATGATGTCGATTCTTAATTCATTATTCAACATTCAGCATTTGAAGTCTCTTCGTAGATTATTATTACCTTCAACTTGTCAGGGTTGTGTCAATTCCTGTCAGTTCTTTGTGTCTCTGATTTCTTGCTGGAAGCAAATGATTTCTAGCTTTTGAACGATTTATTGATTGATTTCCTGTGTATGATTTATTACCTTTCTGTCAATGATTCTCTTCTTGCCCAGCAATTTACTTTTTATTTGTGAATGAATGAAGATTTTTTGCTTATAAATGATTGTCTTCTGTTAATGATTGTTTTCATTGAATGTTTTTAGTATTTGCCTGTGAATGATTTGATTTCTTTCTGAAAGATTTACTTTAAAAAAAAAATGAATATTTGATTTCTTAGCAGTTTACTTGTATGTGTAAGAGAATGATTTATTGTTTATGAATGATTGCTTTATTGTCAGTTAATGATTGCCTTTACGTCTGTGAATACTTGACCAGATAGATCTCAAATTTATACTCTACCCAGGACTGGTGGAAGGTGGAGGTCAATGACCGGCAAGGTTTTGTCCCAGCTGCTTATGTCAAGAGGCTGGATCCCAGTCTCTCAGCTTCCCGCAACAACCTCATGGACGAGTTTACCATCTCCGCTCGCCAGAATCAGATAGAGAATCAGTCAGTGCTGTCTGTTGTTGGATACCTTGTCATTGTGGTCTTCTGATGTGTTTCTTACAGCATTTTGTGTGTGTCATGTTTCATACCGCAGGTGTCTTACATCAGGTTTCGTCCTTTGAAGTTAGAGTGCCTCTACCTGGGGCGCAAGGAACCCAGTCTGCGTACAGATGAGCCGTATCTTTAAAACAGATGTGCGTGCAAAACTCAAGTTCTGGGACAGAAAAGTCCAGAAGTGGGCGAAAAAACCAGCATCTTGTTTACACACAATATGTTTCCTACTTCATGTTTGATACACCATGTGTCAGATGTTACAGTTGATACAATATACTGCAAGGGTTTTCTTTTACCGATTTAATCATTTTCTTTTTTGCTGTATGAATGCATTAGTTAAGATAACGAAAATATTCAGTACTTGTCTGTTTGAAGGAGAGAGAGAGTGTGTGTGTGTGTGAGAGAGAGAGAGAGAAAGAGAGAGTGTGTGTGTGTGTGTGTGTTATTTTTTTAATTATTCCTATGCTGTTTGCTAACATAGAGGCTTTTGAGCGGAAATGCTAAAGAAAGATTCTTAGAATTCCATGGACCAATGAGAACAGAAGTATTGACATTGAGGGCAATTGGCTTATGAACAGCATCTTGTCTCGGAAACTGAAATACTGAAGCAAAATGCTGTAAAGAAACTGATACAGGATGATGATTGTTTGCTAGTTTTGTTAATTGAATTGGTATTTTAATTACTGTTTTATGTATGACCAATTTGCATGTTCTAGTATACATGACTTTTGCTGATTATTTTTTTTAGTAATGTTTTCTCTGACATATTTCTCTGTGAACAATTCTGCTCTTTAACTCTTTGAGTCCCAACAAAGGCATCATGCTTGAAACACTCTGTCTGCTGAATGCCTTCCTTTTCTTTATATGTTCTCTTACTTTTTTTTGGTATTTGGTCAGAATACACTCAAGAATTCTAGCTAGTCCAGTGGTAACTATTGCAGTTATGTTACCACTTTTAAAGTAATGCATTGATGAATTTTAATCACATATATTTATTCACTGGCATCTCGAGTGAAACCTTCTTCTGGTACTGAAGGAGTTCATGTCGTATCTTCTAGGTATGCCAAACTGCTAGACTTGGCCAAGCAGAGATGTGAGAATGTGCTAGAATCATGTCGAGCCTACCAGCTGGTGCGAGAAGCTGCAGATCTCGCTTCCTGGATCACTGAGAAGGAAAGCATGATCTCGGCAGAAGATGTGGGAGATGACCTGGAGCAAGTGGAAGAGCTACAGAAGAAATTTGATGAGTTCCAGAAGGTCAGGCCACTATAATATTCATTTATAACATATTTTATCCTTTGGATCTTTTCTCCAGGTCATGTAGTTGTGTTGGGAAATGAACAGACAGACAGATTGGCTGGTGCTGTACTACTGGGTGGTGAACTGATGCATGACAAGCTATATGTGGTCAAAGTCTTTTTTGGGGCATTGAACACTGCAGAAGTGCGAATAGATCATCAGGGGTCTGGAGAGAATGGTTCTGTAGGGAGCGATCAGTCGATCTAGCTGACACTGTACACACAAAGGAAAGGCAAGAGGGACATGTAATCAAGCTGCTGCTGCTACTACCCTTGGCATTAGACCTGTGGCTGTCTGCAGATGGCATCAGATCACTCGTGGGAATATCTTGGGTCCTGAGATGTTGGTTCTTAGCTTAATTCAGCTCAACCTACTTTACATTGGCTCTTCTACTGTTGTTTCTGCAGTGTCCGTGATATAGCTTATTCTATTTACAGCTACATTCACACAGTTTTACTATCACAAACCATCATGTGATTGATGTTTTTCTTCAGTTGAGTCACAAATATATCTTAAACTCTCATGTTTATGACATAAACAATGTTTGCTATTATTTCAGACATAAGTAAGTAGGTAACTTAATGACAAGGACCCTTTTCCGGATTGGCCATATAGAGCTTGACCTATATTTTATAGACCAGCTGGCACTTGGTAGGTGATGGGTTAACATCACCCTGGCCACCTTTACTTCCCAAGACTATACTTGGTACTCTCTCAAGGCTGGACTGACCTAGGAGCCAAGGTCATTTCTGAAAAACAAAGTCTAGGCTCTGTCAGGACCCAAACCTACGACCTTCCAATCTGCAGGCAAGTGTCTAGCTACTACACCATGGCGTCTCCCATTTTAGACATAGATTGGTCAGTAATTTTCTTTTACTCTCAGATATGTATTTATTATATTCATCTGTCATTTTCCTCAATGTGGATTCTGGGGCCACATTGTAGGGGAAATTTGCAGCCTAGTTATAAACCCTAACACGTCTCAACTCCCCTTTTAAGTGTGAACACAAATGAAGAAGCACATCATATTCCTGCTTTCTTGTCTGTGGTGACTGTTAACTAACTGTAGTAGTTGATAATTATCTATAGGGGTTGTGATGATTTAACTATCTGTAGTGATTGTTAACTATAATTTTAATTTTGTTTTTAACCTTTCCATCAATTCCCCTACTTCTTCCCTCAAGTATTTTATATTGCCATATTTATTTGATTGAGAAATGTGTCCCCTTGCATTCCAAATCCACATGGTCTTAAACAATGTCTTCTGCTTCTGACAGCCTGTTCTCAGTTGCCAGGGTAGATTCTGAAGTCCTAGGGAGGCTGCGTTGTCTTGAGGCATGGTGTCTGCCTCAAGTGTTAGAGGTTCAGAGTTCAATCCCAGGTAATGGCTGGGATTTTTTCACGTGGACTTGGACTTCTAGTAATTCCCCCTGTTTTCTGGTCTGAGATCGGACGCCTGTGTGCAGTGTTACACACGTAAAAAATCCCCTCGCAGTTAGAAATCCAAAAGAGTAGCCTAACGGCACTGCCTGGGCAAAAATTTGGAGTTGAAAATCTACCCAAAGTATCTCACGATTCTCGCCGGTGCTACAGCGCCTGTGCACTGTGCTGAGCTTTTTCGGTAAACCTGAGTTAGAAGAAAGAACGGAGCACTTATGGGTTACTACCCGTGTGCCATGATGTTGATCCTTTGTTCAAACCTCCAACTTATGAAGTCCTATAGAGGAGAATGCTCTCTCAAATGCTGTGGTCACATAAATACGGTTTGGGACTGTGATAATGTGAAGTGACTTGTTCTAGTTTTCACTTTGTTTGATATCCTTGCATGGTACTCTAGATGTAGACACCTCCATTCAGTTGCCTTATCAGCTTCTCATAGAGCGTAAGCCTTGAGACAGCTCATACCAAATCCCAGTGCCTTTTACTGCCTCATACACTTTTATTACTTTGTGGGATTTTTATATATGTCTAATGTTTACCCTTTTGTGCCCATGGTCTCTCAAGTATGTATATTATACTTTTAGTTTGGTCTCCTCTGTTTGTGTCCTTTCTGGATTGCCAACTGACGTTCACTGCTTATTTCAGTCACATTTGCAGTTGTTCTAAACTAACAAGAATAGTTTTTGTTTTTTTTTCCAGGATCTAAAAGCAAATGAGGCACGTCTGCAGGAGCTGAATAATATCGCAGACCGTCTTACTGCCATGGGTCATACTGAGGCAGCAGAGAAAATCAGGGAGCAGATCATTGTGAGTATCTTTGTTAACATGTGTTTTTAGATCCTCTTGCGCATTCGATGGATGATTTGGTTGAGATTTTGCTGGCAACCTTTGCGTCTCAAAAAAGATTACATAACTTTCCTCACTTGGATCAGTATACCTGGGCATGTCACGGAAAACATAATGAACAAGAGGACCGACCAGCCAGCAAGCAGTGCACCAACAGGTGGGAAGAAGTATCAACAGAGCAGATATCATCAACACTGTACAGACTAGATTATAGAATACGAATCTCTGACACTAACATGATTGGATGATATGGGAGTAAAGCATGGTCTACGCCTCCTTCGAGGCCAAGATAGGAGATATTATAATCAGCTCCTCATGGGAACAATCACTGGAGGCTACATAATTGGAGAATTGAGCATGCACGGGAATGCCCCTTATACAGTGACATCGATTTTGATAACATAACATCCCAGAACGTTTTGTGATGCCTATTTAGGCTGTGTCAACAATCCAAGGCTAACGCAAAAATTCCTACCGCAAGGCTAACAGGCAAGAATGCTAGAAAATACATTTTTACAGCTCTCTCCAAAGAGTGTACTGACTGATTGAATTACTGTCACTACTGTCTGTATTTTTAGGACGGTGAGACATGATCAGTGCCATAAGTAAAGTAAAGATCCCTTTTCACGCCTTTCGGCGCATCGGGCATATGGGCAGAGCGTCCCATATTTTTACAGACCATCAGCACTCTGTGGGTAATGTGGTCAGCATTACGCCGGCTGTCTTTACTTTCCCAGGACAGCCCATCCTGGTACCCATTTTAGGCTGGGTCGACCTGCGACATCCCATACCACGACAAAAATCCACGCAGCCTGCAGTGGGTTTCGATCGCGGTATGCTGGCTTACGAGTCGGACTCGCAATGCCCTAGCCACGGACGCCGCTTGATCAGTGCCATACGAGAGACTAAATGCTATGAGGCTTCCAGTTTTGTGGAAAAGAATAGACTGTAAACCCTGGGTGTACCAAATGAAGCCTTGAGGCAGGAAAACTATGTGGTAGACACTCGTTACATCAGCCAAAACAAAATGGGAGTTGTTAGCCTTAAAAACACCTGGAGACATACTCAGGAGGAGATCGGAGCACTTATGGTCATGTCCGATGCGTGATGAAGTTGATGAAGATGATCTCTAAAATAAACAAATGACAATAGGGCGGTGTAGACAGGGAGTCATGAGCCTTAGGATTTAAGGCCACGTTGCTAGTGCAGTCGCCATGTACTGAGCAGGTTAGGATATTTATTTTTGCCTCTGACAAAAGTACATCCATCATCTTACAGTGGATCAAACTAAGGTCTCTTGCATGAGAGCCGGACATTGTAATTGCTCAGCCAGCTGCTTCTCATGCAGGGCACATAGATAAGAGGCAGACCAGAATGAGCATTTGACAAGGCAAGCATGCACGGGTGCCTTAATCAATCAGGTGCTGTCTCCGCAATGAAGGTTGGCTGCAGTGCATCTCCAACACACACTGTCTTTTTGTTTTAGTTGTGTACTTTCTGAGACTGCATTTTGTCAATCTCTTGATGTTTTCCTCCAACTTGTATCATTGTCTACCCTTTTCTCTCTTGTATTCAACTTTTCTTTCCAGTATGATTTTTTATGTACATAGAATTGAAAAAGAGTGGTATGAAACAGACAACTGTGGAATGGAAAGTCACAGAACTTCATTACCAGCCCAAAACTGGAATAATTGATGATGATGATGATAATGATAGTTGACCAAATTAATGTATGCTTTCTTTTTGTTTTGTATTGTTATTTTTCAATACTCCATGGTTGCCTTATCTATGTTTTCGTTTGGATATATCACTTCTCTATTCTCCCCAGTGTTTTCCTTGAATGTATTGTATTCATTATGAATTGATTTCTGTCATTATTTAAATATACATGTGTGCTTCCTTAATATGTATCTGTTTTTACTGCTGTATTTTCTATTAATCTTTATATTGCTAAAATTATATCAATATTTGCCACAGGATTTGACTAGTCTTACTATGCTTATGAACTATAACCCTGGAAGTTCTCAAGCTAAAGAAAGATGCTGTTGGACATTGATCATGATCACATATCATCACAATGTTGTTGTTGTGTAAGATTTTGTTTTCTACACTCCTTTCATAGCAACTGAACCAGAGATGGGTCAATTTGCAGCAAGTCACGGCTGAGAGAGCCCAGACTTTAAGCAGTTCATTCGAGGTCCAGCGCTATCACAGGTAAACTTAGCTTTATTGTCTCCTTGAGCCATTGCATTGCTTTATCCCAAGCTGTATGTGAGTTGCAGGAATTCTGGCATATAATTAAAGAAATAGGTGATGGTGGGGAGTGAAGGCACTTCTTAGTGATGGATGGATGGATGGATGGATGGGTGGGTGGGTGAATGGATGGATGTATGGATGGATTTCAGTAAAACTTTTGATATAAATTTGTGTCTACTGATTCTTTGATATCACACCACAAAAAGTTTGAACCTGATTCATTGACACAGGGAAGTTGATGAGACCAAGGACTGGATCCAGGAGAAGGATGCAGCACTGAACAGTGACAATTATGGTCATGATCTGGCTAGTGTTCAGGCACTGCAGCGGAAGCATGAAGGTGTGGAGAGGGACTTGGCTGCACTTGGAGAAAAGGTACACATTTCATTTGCTCTTGCTTTTATATCTAGTGCATC